CGAGGCGACGGCAATAAAAATTTGTGTCTGTGCACACCAAGAGATACCAGCAGCAAGTTGAAAGAGAGAAAGAGCTGGGGTAAATGATACGATATTATGATGAGGAATGAAAAAAAAAATGTGTAAAATGTAGCACACAATGAATGGAACTTGATGGTGTAGAGTACATTCATCCGGCCGTCCAGCCAAGGATGCAGCTGGCCTTTTATGGCGGAGGTTATAATTTTTAATTTTCATTCATAATATAAATTAAGTCGTGAATGCAACATAAAAAACGAGGTCAGTTTTTTCCTCGTCGCACCTAAAAGGCGTTGCAGAAATTCGCTAGCTTGTTAAGGGTCTGGCCGCTCTATTTTGGTATTCGCGCGTACATTTTTGGGGCGCCTGCTGGTCCAGCCGAGGGAGGCAGGGAGGGCTGAAGCATTATGTGTGCTGTGTGTTTACATCTCTCGCGGGAGAAATGTTTCACATGGGGACCCACAGAGAATGACGACTTATTAAGAAAATAAACGACGAATCTCGATTTTCCAAGAGAGACGCGGCATGTGCACCGTTTTAACGGCCGCGCCACAAGGAGACAAGTGGTGGTGCGGGTGCGGGTGCGGGTTAATTCAAGCAAGTTCAAGGGCAAATTTTTTTAATTATTCCAAATCAGCTTGAAATTTTAAAATAAAAATAATCTAATTATGTGGCGCACTTATTAAAAATATTTTTTATTATCAATTTTACTCATGTTAATAATATTTATCCTAATGGGTTTTTTTGCGCAACGATTCAAATTATTTTTGATTTTGATTTGATTTTTAGATGACCCTTTTTGACAGAGTTATAAACTTCCAAAGTTTCCTGTGCGGCAGCATTTCCATAAACCCAACACTAATATGACTTCCGCTCGGGAAACTTAGAAGTTAATATCGCCGTCAATATTTAAATGTGCTTAAATCGTAAAGAAAATTTCCATTAGGATTCCCAATTAGGAATTTTGACCGTCTGAAATATTACAACCCTCAAAAATAGATTGGTAAGGATTTTATTTATGTTTTAAATAAAATAAATTCATAAAAATCTTTAAAAATCCTTCTGAGAAAAAGTTAGGGGCTAAATTTCCCAGATTGAGGCATATTTTTAAATGCGTGAACATAAACAAAAAGTTTTGTTGATTTGGATTAAGCCAAATAAGAACCGCCCGGTCGCAAGACTTGAAAACAAACAAGCGCTCGCTCGCTCATCTCATCTCTCAAATTTGATGCGGAAGCCCTGAAAGGATTGAGGGTCGAGTGGAAAAATGAAATGCAGAGAGGCCCTCGGGCGGCTCAGATAAACAAATAAAAAATGTGATCAGCTGTAAAGATTGGGTTTCCAAATTGAATTAAAAAGTCTAGTGCGCGCCTGTTGGGCTCGTCCGCTGCAATCATAATGCACAAAAAGCGAGAATGAAAGGGCGCCGTTGTTGGTTGAATTCGTCTGCTCAAAAGTCGCTCGGAGCTCTGCGACTTTTCATTAATTAACTCCGAGACGAGATTTGTGTGTGACGTTTTTACAGCGAATTCCATCTTTGCCAACACACACAGACTGGTGTTTCTATTAGGTTTTAAAATTTCAACAGTTATTTGTAGCTGACAGAAGATTTATTTTCTCAAAAAGAGATTTATTAAGTTATTAATGACGCTCAGAAATAGAGAAGAGAATTTCAAAATTTAATACTGAGCATGTGTATTGCTAACAATAAGAAATAGTAACCGAAAGGAAAATACTTAAAAGTAAAAAATAGTTGAAATTACTAAAAAAAAATTTAAATAAGATAAATTTTCTATTTAAATACAAAGGTATGAATTTAATTACTTTGGCATTTTAAATTAATGAACACAAAAATTCTACTCAGAAGACTCAATTTTTGTTTACTTTTGACAAGATTGTAAAAATCTAAACTCTTCTCTTCTGCACTCTAAAAGTTAAATAATATTTTTTTCCAGTACCGTGTCGCAGCACAATTAGCATTTTAGCAATTTAAACTTGGATTTAAGAAAATTTGAAGTTCACAATTAAAAGCATTCAAATTGTTTCTGATCTAAAATTATTTGATTAGAACTAACGTGTTTCGAATTTTATTTTAAAAACTATATGATTAAATCTAATTAAAATAAGTACCTTGTAATTATGGACCTAAACAAAATGAAAAGAGGCCTCTTCATATTTTATTTTAATATGGGGCATTAACAGCCTTTAATTTGCCATCAATAAAAGTGTCTATCATGGCGACATGCAAATTGAATAAATAATTAATATCCTTTGCCGTTTGTCTGATGGATAAAACAGAGCGAGGCCTTTGGGTCAAATGGCGATCGGCTCGACGTGCTCGTTAGAGCAACGAATCCAAACCCACGTCAGTTGCTCATTTTGCTCAAGGAACACAGGCCCTTGTTAGCCTCATCCGAGCAGAACTTTATTGCCCAAAATCCCAACAAGCGCCCCTCGAGCCAATCAATTACTTTCCAGCAATTATACAAATTTGTACACTTCTTGTGGATTATCGCGTCTGGCTTTTTAACCCTCACACACATGCGCTCATAAATTATGTTAATCTGTCTCGTGAGTAATAATAATAATTTCCTTGGAAAGAAAAATATAAAAAGGAAGAAGCTGCTGGCGAGAAACGATGCTATCACGTGGGTGCGGCAGTAAAAGGCAGAAAGAAAAAATGATGCTTATATTATGTGTGTGTGCCACGGAGAGGACAAACAATAAAAAGTGGGAATGACGTAATTGTTGGTCTAGGTCTGATGTCATTCGCTTTGCACTCCGTCGAAGGCGAGAGTGTCAACAATCGCGACGCAAACTGCCAAAGTAGCCGCGTAAATCACGCTATTTGTTTTGTTTTTTTCAATCTTGAACAAAATCCATTCATGCCGAATACACAAGGCCATTCATACGATTTAATTTTGCTAATGGACGTGCAAAAGAAAGAAAATTCGATCGATGCTGCGTGTAGAGAACGGTGGGGGATGTTTGTCAATAAAGTATACAATTTATTAAGCGGTTAACCGACCTTGACTTGCATTTTAAATGTTAAACCACGTTCAAAATGTCACTTGAATCGAGCAGTTTCTTTACCACAGAAGATTCATCATATCTAAAAATAAACCCTTTCACATATTTAAAGTGCTAAAAAAAAAAATTAAACCAACAAAACCTTAAGAATTTTTTATTATTGAAATTTCTAATATTTTTCTTATCTTAAAAAGATGAGATGTTTCAATTTATAATAATGTGCTGCTAACAATTCCATGATATGATAAATTTATCTAAAATATATGAAATTTCATTCACATTTTTTTTTTAAATTTTTCATTAATAACAATTGTAATTATCTATTCAAATAATTTAAAATTGTATTTTTCAGTATTTTTTTTTTTAATAAAACAAATTAGTCAAATCAGAAAATTTATATTTAAAAATCTGCCCTGCTAAGCAAAACTGCCACTTCTTGCATGGGCTTTTACGGTCTAGCTGCTTTATGGCGCGTGCATTATGCTTTGCAAAGTTCGTACAAAGATTTATTCAACCTCTTTTTCCCTTCAGATAAGACCGTATGTTCATACCAGTCATAGAACAGACCAACTTGTGTCTCTCTCTCCAGTCGCAAAGCAAATTAACGTCTCTGGTACTGCACGCATATAAAAATCCAACACCAAATGTGCATCTCTCTGGCGAGACACAATTTTTTTTACAACACTACTGCCCACTTCAGAGTACATAAGACTTGTGTGTGGTCCGTTTAATTGTGAAATATAAACGCGCGATGACGCAACCCGCGAGTTATTGCCCATGAGAGTGACCGAATTTTAATCTTGTCATTTTTATTACGTTTTTGATTGGCTAAAAATTTATCAAAGTCGTAATAAAAATTGAATTATTTAAGAGAGGTAATTAACAACTTTTGTTTTGAATATTTCTGCATCCCTGAATATCGTGTGGTGAATGTCAGCCGGATTGAATTTCAAAACCGCAGCATAAGCTGCGTCATGTCCTCGGCCATGTACGGCAGAAAAATTACATGTGACTGCAGAAATAATAATCTGGATGCGCGTACATTCGTGAAACAAGACGCCTTCGTTAGCCCGCGGATCACTTTTCCTTGTTTGAAAAAGCGGTTAAATATTTCAAACGAATAAAGCGTTTTATAACTTATATTCCTTTAAATATTGCCTGAAGTAAGCCACGAGTAATTTAGTTTTAAATCAGGCTCACTATTTTTTAGAAATTAAAAAATGAAAAAACAAATGGAAAAATAAATACTATTTTTTTATACTTTTTCAAACTAATTTAAATTCTGTAGTAGAATTTCGCGATCGACGGTTGATTTATGTTGATTTGAATTTAAAATTCGGCTTTTCCTCGATGGGTTTTAGTGAGTTTTTATTGTTTAAGAAAAAACAATATCATGCTCTACTTTAAATTCCTGGAATATTATGCAACTATTTTGTAAAAGAGTTAAAACGCTTTCTCGTTTGTAACAATCTGTGACAAATAGAAGAAAAAAAACATGTAAGGGATGAGAATAATTATAACTTTTTAAATCTAACGCTCTAATTTAATATTACATATCACAATATCCAATAAATTATTTGTTGATTCTGTAGATTTTAACTTGATATCTCGCGTCTTGGAACGTAATTCCACGTTTAGGCGATTATTCACAAGTACTAATTTTAAGTAAAAACACATTTTTTTTAAATTTAAATATCAGTTTTAACGGCAATTTAGAAATTAAAAAGCCTAAAATCTGAGAATTTCAAAATTATTGGAATTTAAACTAAAAATTGCATGTAAAACAACTCACGTTGTATCATTTTGAATGTTTTTCCCTTCCACCAATTTCTTTTAAAATTTCGCGTCGATTTTTGTAACTTTGAAACTTGAGCTCTGAAATAACAATGATAATTATATATTTTTTGAAGCAAAGAAATTTTGCTAAATTTCGCCCAATTCTTTTGCGCCAGTTTGCGCCGTGTCCGATTACATTTGTCGCGACGGCAAATGCCTTGCTTCTGCCTTGCGTTGCGATGGCACTCCCGATTGTAAAGACGGCGATGACGAAGAAGACTGCCCAACCAACCCTCCTCCAACCAACCCACCACCTGTGTTCACGACGCCGACCACCGCGGCACCCCTCCAGCCAGGTACAAACTCGCTTCTTCCTTGAAATAATTCACAATTTTGGGGGTGTCAAATTTAAACGAACCAATGTTTGATTGGGCTCCAAGGTTTTGCTCAGCTGTGTCCCAAGGGTGAGTTTGGGTGCGAGGACAACTCGTGCATCACCATCGGCCTCAGGTGCGATGGCAAGGTCGACTGCCCCTACGACCGAAGCGACGAGGACGGCTGCTGTAAGGGCTCTTCTTGGATTACTCGAATTCTCTTTTTAGAAATTTTAATTTAAAATATATATGATTTATTTACGAATTTTTATTTCAGATTATTGGTTGTTATTTTGGTGAATGCAGAACTCTTTCTTTGTTCAGTTTGTCTCTTTTTTAGTTAGTGTGTATTTTTAGATTTGGTTTTGTGTGAAAAATTTCAAACCTTTTCGGGAGGAAAACAAAAAATCATTTGTCGATTTTAGTGTGCGACCCGCAGACGCAGCACCAGTGCGATTTCGGTCAGTGCATCGAGCGCCGGCTGCGATGCAACGGCAAATACGACTGTCCCGCTGATGACAAGTCGGACGAGGAGGGCTGTTGGACTCGTAAGTTCTTTTTTGCGTGAAAATAGAGACAAACTTGAATTCCACCTTTTTTGCAAGAGCAAACAAATTTTCCTCTATTCGTGTGTATTTTATGAAAAGAACTAATGATTAGAATTTTTTGTGAAAATCAATCAATCAATTCGATCAGGCTGCATCCAGAGGGTGCAATGGGTGTGTTGTGTCCCCAGACAGACGACGTGCATTCGTACCAATACCAACTGTTCGCCAGTGCCTTCAAAGTGTGGTATGTCCTTGCTGAGAGCAAATGCAGCTAGTGTGTACCGCCGCCATTGAAATTTAAATTGAATTTTTTTTCTTGATGTGGAGCAAAATTAGATATTTACTTCAATATTGGATCCCGATTTAGGATAAAAATTTTTGAATAATTAATTAACCCTTTTTATCTCAAGATTGTCTCAAATTTTGAAAAAATTTATATTTTGAAATCCATGCATATATTTAATACAAAATTTGAACGATAATAATTTTTTTAATATCTAGACTAATAGGCTTTTAAAACTTTTTTGGCAAGATCTAGGTTCTAAATATATTTTATTATATTTATGACATTTATTATTTATGTAGTTTTTAAGCCTGTTTTTGTTCCTTTTTTTACAGTAACAGCAGAATTAAAAAATATTTGATTTATCAAATTAAAATCATCTCTTATTTTCATGTAATATTTATGAAAATTTTTTTAAATATTAAAACCTTATCAAAATCACCTGTTTGGATCCAATATTGAACATAAATACTTCTTCTTTGTCGTTTAAATTTTTGCTCCACATCAGACTGGAAAAAATCAAAACCGGAGCTGAGAAATGCTGGCAGCGTGTTTTAGCCTCTCTGTGCCTTTTGGCCGAAAGGTTTTAGCCGCGCGTTGATTAGCAAAGTAGAGGTGCAGATGATTTAGATGCCGAGAGAGAAGCGACGCTCGAGTGGCGCCTCGAGTGCCTCTGTCTGATGCACAATTAGAATTCCTTAGTGTGTTCTCAAGTGCCGCCGCCTTTTCGCCTAACTAACTCTTTCTCCTGCAGCAAAACCACCCACACATAAAAAGGCCGCACCGACCACTCCTGCAGACCCACCCTTTCCCGTCTCTCGCTGCTTTTGCAGAGTTTTGTATCAACAAATCAGATGCAGGTTTTGGTCGCTGCTGCTTTCTAGATCCGGATTTTTGTCTTTTGCGCGCTTAAGTTGTTTAAAATCTGCCATCCTTTTTTATCTGAGCGTGTCCGCCGTTTTTTGCAGCATGCAAACCGAACGAGTTCCAGTGCGACGGCAACAAATGCATTCCGCAGTCCAAAAAGTGCGACGGCAACTACGACTGCAGCGACAACACGGACGAGAAACAGTGTCGTAAGTCTCTCGGATTTGTCCCGTTTGGCGGACAAAAAAAAATAATTGGATAAAATTCCTTCGAATTTCTTTCTGCTCAGGGTCGTGTTTTCTATGTGCAAAACAAGAATGTTCTGTTGTCCGTGGCTATGAGGGTGCACCAGTTAAAAAAATGGTCAAAATAATTGTAGATTTGTATAATGTGTCTCTTCCGTATAACGCTTTTCAGATTCGCTGTTCTAGTAATATGAAATCTAAGAGTAGTTAGTGCCAATGTTATTGTTTTATTTATGTCTTTCGTTTCACTTGGATGTTTGCAGAATATAATTAACCTGGGGCGTGTTAACAATTTGTATTTGTTTGAATGTTGGAGAAATTACACTTATGGAAATATGAGTTATTAAATATCAAATAAAATCAACTTCACAGCAGATGGCAATATTTTGCGACCAGTTGAAAAATTAATTTAAACATAAACCCTCTTTACATCCTATTTTATTTTGATATTTTAATTTTTTATCTATTTACCACTATTAACGGGGGATGAACCAGTTAATTAATTACACTGATCCCATTGCCATTATCTTTGCTGCAATTAATGCCATTAATATACATATTTTTATTGGTGCTACTATATTTTGATGTACATTTCTTTAAAATTTACAACAATTTAAGCTTAAATTTGCTATATTTTCATGAGAAAAAATATATGATGAAATTAAAACTAAAAATCTTTTGTAAAGGTTAGTTTATTAGTTTTTTGCTCTCTAACTACTTGTGTACGCTTATTTAATATTAATTGTATTCGTTATTGTTTGTTTTTTACTATTAAGAATCTGACATTTTTAAAAGAATGATAAGATTAACATTTAAACAAAAACGTAATTTATTAAACTGTGTTTGATAATATTTTATAGGGTGATGGGATATTGACATTTAAATGTGTACAATTAAAGAGGTTTCTTGCATTTTTAAGCTCTCTGTATATTGTATTAAAATTTGTGTTCGTTTCTCAGCTTTTTACGTGTCGCAGATGTATCTTCCTTTACACTAACTCTGCCAATTCTTTCGAACTCGGCACCAACAGTTCACATGACAATTTCCGCGTGTTTCAGCGTGCAAACCAGGTTACTTCGTGTGCAACAACGGCCACTGCATCCACCCTCAACTTCGTTGCAATGGCGTTTTTAACTGCCAAGACGGCAGTGACGAGATTTCGTGCAGTACGGATACGAACCCAAATTTTTTATTTTTTATATGTGTCGTTCATCTGTCTTTTCCCTATCGTATTTTTTGGAGCGTCTCAATATACTCATTCTTCTGTGTCAGTCATGGCTTCTGTACTGTTGTTCTCTTCATCTCCTTTTCCAGACGATAGATATTCTTCACAATAATATCTCTTTTTTCCTGCAGTAATTATTATAAATAAATGTGTCATTTTAAATTTTCCCTTCTGTCTTTCTATAAAATAGATTTAAATGCTGAATGAAAATTTAACTACTGTAATAATTATTATATATTAAAGCGAGCGTCCTTTCATTTCCATAAAGAACGTTAAAAGGTGTATTTAATATTAATACGACGACAGCTCTGTCAGGAGTTTGCGGTTTAATAATGTCTTGTCGACTTTTACCCTTTCAATATATAAAACACGCGACGTGAAATAAACATTCTTCGTCGGAACATTTTTTCTGACATATAAATTCTTTCTTGATTTTCAGATCTCTGGTATGTCATCTTCTTCTATGATCAATTTTTTATGTGTGTGTCTTTGTATCGCTGTGCTCTTGCCCATCCGCGAAAATCGTGTCGTCTCGCGGATTTTAATGCTGAATAATTTTGCAGCGAGTTGCGCCAGAAACGAAGTCGAGTGCAAAGACAAAACCTGCGTCAGAGGAGCTCGATGCGACGACCGCGTGGATTGCGCCGACGGATCAGACGAGGCGGGATGCCGTAAGTGCCCCCTTATCAGAAATAGCTAGATCGCAAAATCAAATAGATGTTTGCCAAATTGAGTTTACTTTAGGCCTTATATAAAGTACAAAATACTGTTACGGACGGAGATCAAAGGCCACTTCTTGAGCTCTTGACAAAATAAATAAAAAATACATAAATATAATGTGGCAAAATACGGTTAGTTTCTATATTACTTAAAGTTTCTGATTTAATAAACTTTTAAAATTAATTTGTTAGAAATTTATAAATCTTTTGTAATTTAAAATAAATCTTTACTATTTTTTTTTTAAATATTTAACAATAATGTCAATATTGACTGTCTTTTTTATTAATTTATTTGTTTATTTAAAAAATGAAAACAACTTGCCCAAAAAAAATACACAAAAATGAATAAAAATTCCATAGATAAAGTTAATAATAAGTTAAATATTGACAGTTTTATCAGTTGATTGCAATTGGCTAAAACTGAAAATAGTTGGAGAAATCATCGAATTTTAATTTTGAATTATGGAATCAAATTTTTTTTAAGATTAAAATTAACTTCTGAATCAAATGTTGTTTCCAGCGTCTAGATGTTCCTCTGATCAATACAAATGCGTCGACGGAACGTGTCATGACCCATCCGTCGTTTGCAATGGAATCCGCGAATGTTCCGGCGGTGAGGACGAGAGGAACTGCGGCAGGTTGTGTTTGCCAGGCGAGTTCAAGTGCGGCACCGGCGAGTGCATCAACGAGAACCGCAAGTGCGACCGCACCAGCGACTGCCGGGACGGATCGGACGAAGACGACTGCGGTGAGTGTCCTTTTGAATTTTCACTGTTTGCCTCCGAATGTTATTTTGAAAGAAAGAAAGCAGCTGAAGAGGGAATGCAGGTGCTGAGACGTGCTGTCCAAATGTCCAGTGTCCTTTGTTCTATTTTTATTGTAAAAATCAAAGTGCGTCTGTTAAGTGTTTGCAAATTTCATTTACATGCATATTTTGTCATCGTCAGCAATAACAAGCATCTCACTTAACACTCAACATTTTTTATCTCACTGAAATGAGGAGAAATATTTATTCATTTATTCAGATTTTTAAGGGTTGATCAAGCTATATGATTTACAATTCTAGGCATATTAATTAAAAGTAGTTGCAATTAAAAATTCTTAAATATTTTGTTATCTAATGTTTCAATATCTCTCTGTGTAAATAAAATTCAACTAAACTACTAAATTCATTTAAAGAATTTTTAAACCTGTTTTAAATTAAAACTTAAATCCATATTAATTTTTTATGTAAGAAAAATATAAATAATTCTGGTAGTATATTTTTTTTTTATTGGTATTGGCTTCAAATATCAAATTTTGTTCTCTGGAAAGTTTACAAACAATTTGTTATTCTGGAAAATACCCTCTTATCATTAAGTCCTGGAATCTGTTGGTACGCATATGATTGATCAATCCCTTATAAACTGGTTTTTTATTTTAATTTTTTTAATTTTTCGTAATAATCAACAAACAAAAATCCATCACATTCCGCAATTCATCCGCTAAAAGTACTCATATAGCTGCAAAATTAATACTCAATATTTGTAAATATGTTGAATACATTTTAACGACAAGTGGATCAAAAATTTTAATATAACAAACGGGAGCATGTATATTGCATTTGAAAAGTAATCGGGGTGCATGATACGTTTAGATGTTGAGGTAAATTGCATGGGGTACCAATGGCGGTGCGCAGACAGATACACGTGCATCGACGCTAACAGCCACTGCGACGGCGTCCCAAACTGTCCGGACGGCTCGGATGAACGATTTTGCACTAACACCAACACGACAGGTATTTTCCGATTAATTGCGATATGTAATGATTGTGGCATGCGACACTACTCACGCTTCGCTTTTTGTCCACCCACGTGCAAATATAAATGTCTTGTCCCGGTGTCCCGCAGCAGCTCCGTCGTGCCGAAGTGGCGAGTTTGCTTGTCAAGGTGATGGTCGTTGTGTTGATGAACGCAGGCGGTGCGACGGTTATCTCGACTGTCCTTACGGGGAGGATGAATCAAACTGTGAAGGTAAAAAGAACACAAACACACATACCAACATCAGAGCATGCAGCAGATCTAATTTAAAGGGTCTGAAAATTTTCAGAAAAACCCCAAATTTTTTTACTTGATATTCTAATAGTTATTTACAGAATAAGAATAATTCTTAAGCTTCTTGGAAAATTATTTTGGACGAAGTTTATCGGATTATGCCTAAGATTTCCTATTTTCAGACATTATTTAATAAGGACAATTCCAAAATCAAGAAAATCAGTCAATTTTTGTCCAAAAATAATTTTCTATAAAACTTTTTAAATGTTACACAAAGATCTATCATTTATAATTAATTTACAATTTTGATTTTGAGATCGTTTACAGACCCTTGAATACAAACTGATTTGGTCATTTGGTTAAATTAATAATAACAATTGGCAAAATGGGTGTAAACTGGCCGCACACATTGTAGTTTGGTGTCACCAATCAAACAACAAAAGATCCACGCAAAAATCAAATTTTCGAAATTTTCACATTTTTTTAGTTTAAAAATAACAACAACATTAATTTTCACAATTGAATTTTTTTATAGATAATCTTCATGATTTTTATACTTTTTAAAAGTATGAAATCAAAGTTAAATTTTATTCATTATAAAATATTAAAAAAGTTCAAACATTTTTTTTATTTTCATCGTAAATAAAATTGTTTAAAAGCAAATTACAATGAAAATTTTGCATTTTTTTAGCAATTAATTTATTCAAAATTAACAATTTCAAATCAGAAAATAGTTTTGATCTGCTGATGTTCATTCTCTGTTTTCACCTCCTCACAATTCAATAGCATCGCAAACCACGACCACCCCAGCTCCCAGCAACTACCCTTGCACCGAGGAGCAGTTCAAGTGCACCGACGGCACTTGCGTTCCTAAGAGGTACCGCTGCGACGGCACTTACAAAGACTGCGACGACGGTTCCGACGAGGAGAACTGCAATGAGGTCGCATTCCCGCCCACAGTTTTCGACGGTAGGTCTCAATAAGATACAAAATGTAAAAAACTAAAAGTTCATCAAAGTCATTTTGTGTAAAAATAATTAAGTCTGCTTCCTGATCGCGGTGAGTATAAAAGTCGATGTACATATTTGTGTTTTCTGTTAATTTTTGTTGGGGGCGCATTTATTTTTTTGTCACGCTTGTTCATGGAATAATTTATGATTCGTGTTTTTTTTGAACGGGCTCCTTTTCGATAGGGTGCGGTGACGGCTATTTCAGTTGTGTGGATGAGCGTGGTTGCGTTCCGTCCGACAGAGTTTGCGACGGAGTTGTAGACTGTGAAGATGGCTCAGACGAAGGAACCGAGTGCGATTCCGACGAGAGCACCGACGTGCCCGACGGTTTTGGTGGCAAATATCAATTTTACACTCTCGCATACAGTTGCAATGTTTTTTTTTATGAAATGCGCTGAAGAGACGTACGCAGGCTTAGGCAATCTTTCGATCTTTTCTCTCCGAGTGCTAATTATGTATAGAAAAAAAGGGAGAGCTTATTTGATTTCTCTTACAATGTTGTTACGAAAATCAGCCTGCATGTTTTCATTGTATAAAAAATTGAAACATCATTAAACAAGAGATTGTTGGCAGATCAAAATTCGGAAACTCTTCCCTCTCGAGAATCTATTTTTCTGAAAAAAAATTTCTTCTCTCTGTCTCTCAGTAGATGTAGTCATCTTCAAGCTCTTTTCAGCTGTCGCCTCGCTCGCTGCTGCAGAATGTTCTCGAGCTAAAATTTTGCCAATTAATTTTATTGCCGTAGTTTTTACATTTCTGTTAATTTCATCAACAGGCACCTGCAGGCCTGATGAATTCAGGTGTGATGACGGAAATTGCATCAACGGCGACTACAAATGCGACGGCACCATGGACTGCAATGACAATTCAGACGAGATTAACTGTCAAAGTAAGTAAAATAACAAATTTTAATTGAAATAAAAAAGTTTCTTTTCAATGTCTATATCCCTTACACATTTAATTAATACACATTAAATTAAAAAAAAAAATTGCTGAAACCAATTGTGGCAGCGTTTTATTGTTATTAATTTTTTTAATAAGTTATTCATGACTTTTTCTAACAACCTGGTAATTTTTTATAAATTTGTTCTCAGAAACTTGCAGTTCATTCGAGTTCACCTGCAACGACGGTTCATGCGTCGACAGGAGACTGCAATGCGACGGCAGGAGAGACTGCACGGACGGTTCTGATGAGGAAAGGTGTCCCAGCACTCGTGAGTTGTTCTTCATTAGTCAGTCAATGGCCAAGAAGCCTAGATAAGTTTTTTTTTAGACATTATGCAACCTGCGAAACCCATGCGTAATTTTGTTGCATAAACTGTTCTATTCAAGGCGCTCCTTTTCTTTATTTTTTTTTTTTTTTTACAAACAATTTAAGATTTTGGCTCTGAAATATTTAGATATAAAATAAAATTACAATTGAAGTAAGAAAATTAATTATAAAAATTTAGCTTCAGGTCGAACAAATTAGTTGTTGTTTAAAAATCAGTATTTAATCAGATTTAAAATTGTCTTTGAAATAAAAAGTAACAAAACTTATTTTGCAGTAAAATATTTTATCACTTTTATTTAGCCACTTCTTTTTATCTTCAATATTTAGCACGCCCTTGCAGCCGTTTCGAACTGACCTGTTACGACGGTTCCTGCGTTGACCTGTCCAAGAGATGTGACGGAGTGTACGATTGCGCGGACGGCTCAGACGAGCGTTCTTGTCCGACAACCACCAGCTCCACCACCACGGGTATTCAGATCAAAATTATTCGAATTCCACAACTGACGTTTAAAACAACACAGCGCGACCTTTCGGTTGCACGAGGGACCAGTTCACGTGCAGAAACAGGCAGTGCATCCCGAGGGACTTCAAGTGCAACGGGAGATACGACTGCAGCGACGGATCGGACGAGGAAGAGTGCAGTGAGTTGAATTTTTTATTTATTTACAAACGATTTGATTTTCAGTTGATTTTTTTTTTAAATTACTGCAACTATATATATATTTTTTTTCTTTTCATCCTATTGATGGTTTTGACGAAATATTACAAAACAGGCGATTTTAAATTATGGTGCGATGTTAGGGTGTAGCAAAGAGGACCAATTTATGTGCCGAAGCGACGGCCAGTGCATCAGTATCGAGTTCCGTTGCGACAACATCTACGACTGCTCCGACTTTTCCGACGAGAAAGATTGCTGGCACATAGGTACTGATTCCAAGTGATGGACCTGGCGTTTTGAAATAACCGGAGAATTGTGAATTCTTAACCTCACCACCTGAATGAACCTCTGCACCACCCTATTTACTTCAAACTCGTCCATCAACAGCACAAAAACCTTTAATTTAACATTTTGATTTTTTTCCAGAAATTTAACCAAAATGAAACATGAGCCAGTGAAAAAAACAAAAAATTGGCTGGCATGAATTTTGCACCTTCCTAAATAATTGTTCTTTTTTTCTAAAATAAGAATTATTTTTCTGAAAGCAGCCCTTTTTCTTGAAATTTTCAGGCACTCAGCCGCCTTTCGTTACCTGTTCGAGGAACGAGTTCACTTGCAACAGTAAGGACCAGTGCGTGCCGAGGGCCCAGGTGTGCGACGGAAAATACGACTGCAACGATTACAGTGACGAGACCGGCGCCGATTGTCGTAAGTATTTTGGCTTAACTTTAGAAATAATTCAAAAGCAGGTTAAAGAAAAACATGTACTTTTGAAAATTGAGTAAAATCAAAATTTGCAAAATTGAAGAATGGCAGCCATGCTCGAAATGGGAGTTCCGCTGCGAAAACGGCCCTTGCATTCCTATGAGTGCGCGATGCGACAATAAAATTGATTGTCCCGATACCAGTGACGAATTGGACTGTAAGTCTAGATCAGCTGCACATACCGGCAACTTTTTTCACCGCTGCCATTCACTCTATTAATTATTAATCGTATTGTTTTGTGTTCGGCGATGGGTTTTAATGATTTTTTCCATTATTCTAAAAATCTGATTTCGTTCAGTTCAACATCTTTAATCGTTATTATTTTGTTTTTCTTTTTTTCTCATTGTATTGTCGTCTTATTTTCATTTATTTGTATGTCAAAAGGAGGAAAATGTTTGTAAATCTTTTGTGTTCATAAAACATTCAACCTAAACATAAATTAAAGCAAAAAAATTATATAATTTATATATTTTATAAATTAAAAGACTTAAATTTTTTAAGTAAACTGAAATAAAAACTAACACTAACTCAACGCACATTGCAAAGTCTACCAAAGGTGCGCACATTTAAACCAATTTTAACTTTTATATAACAAAAGAACAATAATATGCTGCTATGCTGATGAAATTTTTAACCAAACCACGAATTAAAAAGAAGCAATTTAATACAAATATAACAAGAGGTAATTTAAACACCACGGATTAAACATGCAAGTAGCTAAAATACGCTGCGACTGTGTGCTCTGCCTGCTATATAATGCTGGTTCTCATACATATTTTGGGCATATTTTCCTCTCATCATAATGAGTGTTTGTGTTTGGAGCCCGGGAAGGAAAATAACACTATTTTTTAATATTGCAGGCCCCAACAACGACCGGCTTCTGCTGCGAACCTACCCAGACGACCAGATCATTAAGACAGGTGAGTCCAGATTTTAAAAGAGCTTTAAAATAGCCGGGCTTTGGAATTTAATTGGCAGTAAAATTTCAATCTTTTCTCGGAAAAAGTAAAGAAAAGCATTGCAAACAGGTTTTCCTATTAAAAACTTTTAAAATTTCTAAATATAAAAATTAAAGCGGATGCATGCAATTAAAGTTAAATGAATTAGGGCGCAGTAGAAAATAGTCCAAAAATTTGACGTAAACCTCTCAAGTAAATTACTAACAAATTCTGATTTGTTTTTGAACTGTCTTCACTGAAAATTGGGAACTTCAGCTGGTAAGTTAGCAGTTGGCAGTATCGAGAATGCTTTCATAGGAGAAAAGAGCATGCGTGGATAAAAAAAATAAAAGAATTTGGATGATCAATTTTTTTCGCATGCAGAGATTTTTTTATTATTTTCTTTATTTAGTGCATGATCATTGGTCGTCTGTGTTCTGTGTAAATTTCAATTTCAGATTGATAAAAACATAAAATTATCTTGAGCCAAAAACTTATCTGATATTTATTTTCAGTTTATATATTTTATTGTGGACCTATTCATTAACTTTAAATTAAAATGCAGGGCGTGAGGTTGTGTTCCAATGTCGTGATGAAAGTCACATCAGAGCCAGTGTCCAGTGGATCCGAGCAAATGGACCTCTTCCACCAGGCTCTCGGGACAACAATGGAAGACTTGAGATGCCAAATATTCAGGTATGTAATGTTTTTCAATTATATCCAAGGTTTGAATTTCAATCATTTTGGCTTAATTTATAGTTCAAGAAATTGCTGTTTAATAAATTATTTGAAATTCGCGTTTATTTATGTAACACCAGGCATTAAATTATTCAATTTCAAAATTATATAGTTTTTTTATTGAATATTATTTAGAATTTTCGGAATTTTTTAATTGTTAAAAATCAATTTTCAAGTTGGAGCATGCAGGGAAGTACATCTGCCAGGCCGTTGGATATCCGGCAAACACCCCCGGAGCACAAAAGGAAGTCGATCTGACCGTGGAAGCTCGTAAGAAAATTAAAGTAAATAAAATTAAATTTGTATAATTTTGCTACTCTTTGCAGATTCCACACCCCCTCCCGCCGAGAGACCACCTTCTGCCTGCCGAATTGATGAAGCCACCTGTGGAAATGGCCAGTGCATTTCCAAATTCAGGGTTTGCGATGGGCAGAGGGACTGCAATGACGGCTCGGATGAGACTAGATGCGGTAAAAATTTGAATTGAAATAAGTGAATTTTGGACTAGAATTTTATTCCAATAGGACATTACGGTTGTGAGCCAAATGAGTTCAAGTGTCGCAACAAGAAGTGCGCCCTGAAGGCTTGGCGGTGCGACGGCGAGGACGACTGCGGAGACGGCTCAGATGAAGAGAACTGCAAAGAGAATCCACCTGGCTCAGCGTGCAGGTACAACGAATTCCAGTGCAGGTCCAACCGCCAGTGCATCCCCAAGTCCTTCCACTGTGATGGCCAAAATGACTGTTTGGATGGTTCTGATGAACTTGGTTGCCGTAAGAGATTTTTTTTATTAAATTTTTAAAGAAAAAAAGAAAATTACATAAGAAAGTATATTTGTAAGGTTTTAATTTTTTTTAACTACGTTTCCAGTAATTCCCTTGCTTTCTGGAAAGTTACAGTTATAAAGTTTAAAATAAAAAAGAAGCGCATTTTTGTTTTAATTCTTGACCTTCCGTGACCTTCCGTCTATTTTTCCCCATAAAACAACTATTTTTGGCTTAGTTAATTAAATTTTTTTTTAATCTCTTCCCAGGTGCGCCTGAAATCACCAAAATGCCGCCTCCATTGGTTGCCCTTGACATCGGTGCAGTGCTGACCATCACCTGCACAGCCATCGGAGTGCCCACGCCTGAGGTCAGTTGGCGCCTCAACTGGGGCCACGTTCCTGAAAAGTGCGTCCAGACCTCCAACAACGGCGAAGGCCGACTCGAGTGCGGGGACATTCAGGAGTCTGACTCTGGAGCGTACTCTTGCGAGGCCGTCAACACCCAAGGCTCAACCTTTGCTGTCCCTGACACAATTCTGGTGGTCAACAGGCAACCTGTTCTTTGCAGACAGGGCACCTTCAACGACCTTGCCGTCTCGCCCCAAGAGTGTCTTTCGTGCTTCTGCTTTGGAGTCACTTCCGACTGCAAGTCTGCAGACTTGTACACTTACCAGGTAAATTAAATATTTTATTTTATTTAGGTTAATTTATTAACTTTAAAACTCCTCAGCTTCAGCCACCAATTGGAACTTTGAAAGTTGTGGGTGTTAACTTGGAACAGGACGTTTCAGTCGGAAGGGAATTCACCCTTGGCACTGCTCAGGTCAGGACTATCCAACAAGGTTTCCAGGTATAAAAATAATAATGAATTTAGAATAATTGATTAATTAAAAATTGAAAGATCTATGGCCCCCTGCCACGCGTCAGAGGTTCATATCCATACCTGGCCCTCTCCGAGAACTACCTTGGAAATCAACTCAAGTCCTATGGAGGGTACATCAAGTTCACAGTTCGAGTGGAACAGAGCATTCAAGGAAGACCCATCAACACACCAAGTATCATAATGAGCGTAAGAGTTTTTGAAGTCGTAAAATAAAATTTAATCTAATTTTTTTAATTAAACCAGGGAAATGGAAAAACGCTTATGTATCCAGGCAAGCGACTCGTTTCTGGCGACAATGAAATATCGGCAAGGATTTTCACTGGCGAGTGGTACCGATTGACCAGTGGACGGGCAGGAGGAGACATTCCAGCCGAAAGGTCTGAACTGGCCTCTCGAGCGGAAATTATGATGGTTTTGGCCAGCATGGACAACATTCTCATCAAGTGATAATTTATTTTTATAGAAATAAATGAACCATGAATAATAAATTTTGTTTGAAATAAAGGATCCAATATTATGACAGCAGTCAGATTGACACGTCCGTCTTCAACTTCAAAGTGGACTCTGCTGGAAGCACCAATGTTGGTCAGGGTCAGGCCAGTTATGTTGAGGAGTGCCGATGCCCACGAGGATACACTGGACTCTCTTGCGAAGTACGTTAAACAAATTTAAATAAAAATTTTAATTTGATTCAATTAATTTTTCATATTATAAAGAACTGTGCGCCCGGTTTCATCAGAAGACAAGGTGGATCCTGGCTCGGCAACTGCATTGAACCTCCTGTCGAACCTTGCCCACCAGGCTATTACGGAGACCCCAGCAACGGAATCGCCTGTCAACCCTGCATGTGCCCTGGCCCCAGTGGACAGTGAGCGTTTTGATACTTTTTGCAACTTTTTGTGAAAAATTACTTTATGAAAGGCTTGGATTCACATCGACTTGCCGTCTCGACTCGGACGGTCAGCAGACGTGCAACTGCCCTGAAGGCTATCAGGGTAGGAGATGCGAAACCTGTGCCGCGGGCTACACTGGAAACCCTCTTTCGGGCCAGCCGTGCCAAAGAGGATTCTGTGACGCTGCTGGTTCAGTCACCATCAAACCTGACCCACGAACTGGAAGGTGCCAGTGCAAGGTCAGTTATTTATTTACGTTAAAAATTTCTTAAAATAATTTTCCTACTAAAAAATAAAACATGCTAACATGTGAAATATGTTTGTAAGTATATTTATCTTGTGACAATTTTTACCATTGTTTTTTTTTCTCTTTTTAAATTTAATATCTTAAGTTTCCTTTTTTATAACCTTTCATCCATATTATATTTAAAAAAAACTTAAATATTACATACAATTTAGGATTTTGTCACTGGACCAACTTGCAACCAATGTCAGGCAAACACATTCTATCTTCATGAGAACCACCAATTTGGTTGTATCCGTTGCTTCTGCATGGGCATTGAGTCGACCTGCCGCAGTTCAAACTGGTTCAGGGAACAAATCAGTCTTGCCTTCACGAGCAGTACACATGACGTCAAGCTGGTCGTGGGAACAAGACAGGACAAGATCATTTCCGACGGCATTCAACTCAATCCGCAGACAAGGGAAATCACCTACCAGGATTTCAACCCCAGATATTCGGACGTAATAAAATTGCCTAATTTTTCTACAGAAAAATTATAAGTTCAACCAACACACAGGTCTACTACTGGAAACTGCCTGCCCGCTTTTTGGGAGACAAAGTCACATCCTACGGCGGCTACCTGAATTACACGGTGCGCTACGAACCGGCTCCTGGTGGGCAAAGCTCGAGGAACAATGCCTACGACGTCGAGCTGCGCAGCCTCAGAACGTCAGACATCATCCTGTTGTACCACCTGAAGGAGCCCCTGCTGCCCAACAGGCCGCAAACCGTGTCTGTGCCTCTGTACGAACAGTACTGGCAGCGCACTGATGGGCAGCCGGCGGATCGGGAGCACATGCTGATGGCCCTTTCCAGCCTGGACGTCATTCTCATCAAGGCCACCTACACAACCAACACTAGGGAGGCTGCGTAAGTTGAATGTTCTCATAGAATAATATAAACTTTTCCAGAATTGAATTTAATTAAAAAAAAAATGTTAGATTCAATTAAATTTCGGCATAATTTTATATTCTTTTTTTTATTTTTTGTTAATATTCCTCACTTTTGTTTTTAGTTTGGCCAGCGTCAGTCTGGACATTGCCGAAGACCGCAACACTGGCCAACAGCGCGCCAGTGCTGTCGAGGAGTGCTCTTGTCCCGTGGGCTACAGAGGTCTGTCCTGCCAGAGCTGTGCAGTCGGCTACACCAGATTGGACGAAGGAATCTATCTGGGCAAGTGTGAGCCTTGCCAGTGCAATGGAGACCCATGCGATCCTGAGAGTGGAGAATGCGTAATTTTTTATTATATTTGTTATTGAACTTTTATATAATGCATGATAAATATTAGCGTTGCCAAGAAAACAGAGCAGGCGAAAGATGCGAAGAGTGCCAGAGTGGCTACAGCATGTCCTCAGACAGGCGTTGTGTGCCAATCAATTCAGGAAGTCCAACACCCAGCAGATGCGAGTGTGACCCTCGAGGAACCATAAACAACAGGTGCAGAAACGGAATTTGCGAGTGCAAGGTGAGAAAATATTAAATTGTTTCTAATTTCTGATGTTTTTTATTGATTTTTTTTTAAAAGACAAATGTTGATGGTGACCGATGTAACCGTTGCCGTCGAGGATCTTTTGCCCTGTCCGAAAAACTTCCCTCTGGATGCCTGGAGTGCTTCTGCTCAGGTGTCAGTCAGGAGTGCCAGTCTTCCTCTCTGTACAGCGACCTTATACCAATGCAAATTCTCGACGAGGATCACGGATTCACTCTGACTGACAGGTGATTTTTTTTTCTTTAATGAGAAATTTTATTTTAATTCATTTATTTTCTTATTTTTTTTTAGTGGAAGGAAGGACTTCTTCAACAGCGATCTCACACTCAACGTCGCCGAAAATGAAATTGGATACACTTTTGAACCAGGCCAGTACAACCGGAAGCTCTTCTGGTCCCTGCCACCAGCATTTACTGGAAATAAGGTGCTCTCCTATGGAGGAATCATCACCATCACCCAGAGGTACTCGGGGTCGGCGTACGAGCGCGGCCAGGATGTGCAACTGATTGGAAATGGAAAGACTCTCTTCTGGTCCAACTTGACAGCCCAAGTCAGACCTGACGAGCCATTCGTAAGATTTTTTCATAAAATATTTGAAATTAAAATTTAATTTCTAATTTATATTCAGACTTACCAAGTTCCTCTGATGGAGGACGGCTGGCGCTTGTTGGGCCCAGGCGGCCCACTGCCTGCCTCCAGAATTGACCTGATGACCGTCTTGGCCGATGTGGAGTTGTTGCTCGTCAGGGCCTCACTAGGAACTTCAACCAGGTCCACCTATTTGTCCGATGTGACCATGGACATTGCTCTCGACACGCAAACTTTCCCTGGTCAGCCACCGGCAGAATTTGTGGAAATGTGCCGCTGCCCACCTGGCTACAGAGGCACTTCTTGTGAGGTTAGTGACTGAAATATTTATTTTAAATTTATATATCACAATGAATTTAACTTTTTAGTTGAAGAGATAAATTTTTTAACTACAAAACTGGATGTTAATAAATTTGAACTTTATAGCGTTGTGACGTTGGTTACTATCGAGACTCCTCGGACACATCTTTGTCAATTCTGGGCTCGTGCCGCAAGTGCCCTTGCAATGACAATGAGGAGAGCTGCAGCCAGACTTATGATCTGAGGGTGGTGTGCAACTGCAAGCCTGGCTACACAGGAAGAAACTGCAACAACATTGGTGAGTGGTGAACCTAATAATTCCTTGGAAGGGTTCAAGCACTGCATCATCCAGTGAGAGTAATTTAACACTAAAAATTGCATGAAGTAGATCCTAAATCAAATTGCAGGAAGCCTCCAGCTGTAGGATTTGTCAGTGCAAAAAAAGTTATATTCCAGAAAAAAATCTAAAAATTCAAAAAGCTTATTGAAGGTTTACAAAACGATTGATATTTTAAAAACAATCAAAATTTAAATTGTTGCACTCAAGTCTGTATGCATCGCTACCCATATCTAATATTATTGACAAAACTCCAAATGCATGACCTTTTGTGTGGGGCGTAGGGGGCATAATGCTTGAGATGATACCCGCCCGCGTGTCCGCACTGCCGGGCAACGAGGTCACCTTCGCATGCAGCTTCCACAGCAACGAGGAGCTCAAGCTGGAGTTCAGCGAGGACCCCCCGTCGCGGGGCAACCAGACGCTTGACGGGGGCCCCCCGTATCAACACGCGCTTGATCCTTACCAAATGGGCGCCAAGCGACTCAAGAAGGTCGTCATTCGGCCCGAGTTGCGCTCGATCACGTGCACGGCGCACAACATGGAGGGCCTCGAAGTCGGATCAATATCCTCCATGGTCTACCCCTCAGGTGCTCGTGCTGTGCTGCTGTTTTTTATGCCGCATAAATTAAAGTTTTCGCATTTAGAGGCCAATCATTTGTCTGCGTCGCTGCTACTGTTATATCCTTCGGAGCACTCAAGGGTCCTTTCTTGCACAAATTTTGTTTTTATTTTTTGTTATATGTTTCTCCACATTCCAATAAATTACATTTTTAAAATTTATATAATAAATTATTTTGCAAATAGCTTTTTAAATTTTCTGAAATTATTGTAATGTGGAAAAGAGTTTTTGTCATCATCAATTTATTGGAGCGCAGTTGGAGGTCTCTTAGGGTCAGGAGGACCTATACTATTCAAGACCCAGCAGGCGACTCATTAATAATTGTTAAATAATCTATTTTTCTAGGAGAAGATTTTTTGCGTTTATTGTGGCGCTGAAAATCCTTCTCTATTTTCCCCTCTGCTATTTTATTTTGCAATTTGCATTAATTTTAGATAGCGTTTTGCAGCTAAATTAGTAGAGAAGCGTCTCATGTTAGTACTTTTTTTTAATGTGGAGTGTGGTTTGTTCTATTGGTGTCCTGATCCAAACTTGTGGAAAACGGTTTTATCTTATTTCCTAAAACTAATCCTCTAACAGGCAGTTTTTACGAGAATAATAACAACTTTACAAGGAGTATCAAAAACTGCTGTACAAAAGTTTTACATTCTTCGTCAAATTGTGTGTTACTTTAGAGTTTTTGTACGTCTAACCTAACCTAACATCTAACATTTAGATTTGGGGAGTACCATTTATGTTGTTGAATTTTTTATGTTTTTTAAAAAAAAAGTCCTTTGGTTCTTAAAGACTAATTTTGCTATTAAAAATTAGACGTTCCACTGCCACCTGTTGCGCCATCGCCAAGACCACCGCCGTCTCCTCCGACTATCTCCATTTCGATTTCTGAACCAAACATTCAACTTGTGCAAATCGGAGCTACAGCAAGATTCAAATGCTCAGGAAGGTCGCTTAGGAGCAGAGTACGCAGTCAAGAAAAAAAATATACCTTGAAATAAAAAATTGAAACAAATTTTCAGAGCGACGTTCGACTTTCTTGGCAGAAGGAAGGCGGAGAGCTGCCTCGATCCAGGGCATCTGATGACGGCAGGGGTCTCTTGATTATCACAGATGTCCGGGTCACTGACTCTGGCACCTATCTCTGCGTGGCCACTGACGAATTCTCTGTTGTCTCCGAACGAGCCGTTCTAACAGTTGGAGGTGAGCACTACATTTAATTTTTTTTATCATATTTTAACCATGACTTGTATCTAAATGCGCAAGCTTTTCCGAAACATTATTTGGATAGACCAGGTATCTCTCTGACAAATACAGAAGCAAAATATAAAAAAATTGCATATTTTTATAAAAAATTTCAATGAAATTTGTAGGATCTCTGGCTCAGCCTCCTCAGGCGACGATCAACCCGAGGTTCCAAGAAGTACAAGAAGGTCAATTTGTAGAGTTCAGGTGTGCCGTGACAGGCTCGCCTAGACCAAACATCAGGTGGAACATGGCTAATGAACGACCTTTAAGCCCCAGTGTAATTAAAATTAATTAAACTTTTAAATAAAAATTCTAAACAATTTTTATCGAGCAGGTGGAAGTTGATGGCGAAACTCTGCGCATTCCGTATGCCAGAAGGACTGACGAAGGAGAATTCAAGTGCACGGCCACCAATAGTGAAGGGTCTGACTCTGTTTCTACTTTCCTCTACGTCAGAGGTATTAATTATTTTAAATTTTAAATATTTTATTAATTCGTTACAAAACATTAAATAAAAATCAAATGCAATTATAGAGCGCTCATCGGAGCCGCCGTCAATTCCTGCGCCCACAATCAGGGTGGAGCCCCAAGAGTTCCAAGGACAGCCTGGAGAGACGGTTCGTCTGAGTTGCACGGGAGCCGCGTCTGGCTACACAGTCAGGTGGTCGAGAATGGGTGGCGAAAACTTGCCAGCGTCTTCCTCTGAAACTAGTGGCCAGCTCATTATCTACAACGTCAGCCCATCGGATTCGGGTGTTTACGTCTGCTCGGCCACGGATTCCTACGGCAATGTGCAGCAAAGTCAGGCCAGAATAACCATTGTCACAGCAGGGTAAGTGTATATATTTTCTGATGAAATAATATAGAATTAATGTTTATAACTTTTTACGTACAATTTTAAATTTAGAAACCCTCCGAGTGTGAGAATCGAGCCAGAGAGGCAGACAATTGTTCAGGGAACAAGCGGTGAGCTGCGTTGCATAGCTACCGGAAACCCAACACCCATCGTGACCTGGAGCAAGGTCAATGATGACTTCGGCAGGAATGTGCAAGTCACAGGCAACATCCTCAGAATCACGAGCGCACTCTTTACTGACAGAGGTGTGTACGCTTGCAAGGCGTCCAACTCCGGAGGAGATGCGCAGACTTACTCTATCATCGAAGTCGAAGGTTTGTTTGATTTTCCCTAAAAATAATTAGTTTATTTGATTCTTTTCTCACTAAATAGTGCGTGAGGCCCCTCTGGTTGAAATATATCCCAAGACTGACCAAACTGTCCTCGAGGGAGGCAGCGCCCTAATTCAGTGCCGCATTGCTGGTGGAATCCCCACTCCAACCTTGACCTGGAAAAGGGCTGATGGCAAGCCTCTGTCCAGCAAAATCAAAGAGCTCCAAAGTGGAGTGCTCAGGTAATGAAAAATTTCAATTTTTCTTTAGTAAATGATAATAATTTTCTAATTAATAAATTTGTAGTTTCAATGAAGTTTCAAAGAACGAAGCTGGTCAGTACCAATGTATCCTCGAGAACTCGGTCGGAACCGTCAGCGCCATGGTGTCAGTGATTGTTCAGTCAACACCTGTCATCAGGGGTCTCCCTGTTGGTCCAATCACCATCCAGATAGGACAACCTCTGCGTCTGGAGTGCCGAGCCGATGGCGATCCAATTCCGAAAGTGGTTTGGAAGAAACACCAACTTGGACCTGCCAATTTCTAGTAAAAACTTAAAAATTAATTTTTCTAAATTAACCAACTAATGAAAACTTCCAGCAATCTTGGTGAAATCACCCCTGAAAACACTTTGATGGCGGTTTACGAGATCAGCCGAGTTTCAAGACAAGACGAAGGATCTTACAGCTGCGTGGCCACAAACGAAGCTGGCGTACATGAGGAACGAGTTCAGGTTATTGTTGAGGAAAGGACCCTTTCTGGACCCAGTCCTGGACCATCTGTGAGACCGCGACCTCCCACGTCATCAGGGGGTGGAGGTGGTCAGATCATTCTTGACCAAGACAGAATGAGAGTGAGCTCTGGAGGAACTGCCGAGCTCAGATGCTACGTGAGGAATAATGGGTAAAATAACAATAAAAAATTAAAAGTTCTGGCTAAATAAAATATTTATTTTCTGCGCAGAGAGCAAATCTTCCTCAACTGGATTCGTACAGATAACAGGCCCATGCCGAGAGAGCACAGAATCCAAGACGGAATTCTCACCATCACCAATGTGGACTCGAGCGCCGCTGGTGGCTATGCCTGCGTCGGCATTCACAATGGCAGGGAAATATTCAGGGGCAACGCGTACCTGGAGGTTGTAGGTGAGAAAAAAAAATTAAACTATTGTTAAGTTTGGGGCTAAAAAACAATTATTAATGCTGCGTAAAGTTTCTTGCAACAAGAAAAGAGGTATGTGTGACATCACCAAAAGAATTTAATGTTTCAAAAATATTTTTGCTATTTTTTTAGATTGAAAAATTCATTTTCACTTTGTTAAAAAACATTATTGAATATTTTTTGTTCTTCTGTTAAAAATTGAGATATTTTTTATATATTTGGGTTACAATTTTGCTCATTTATGCACCATTTATGTTTTAATGTATCTCCATTAAATTATTATTTTGCTGGTTTCAAATTGTTCTACAAATTTTTAGAGCCCCTCCGTGTCAAGTTGAATCCGAATAGGCAGACTGTCCGTCCTGGAGACAACGCCCTGATCACTTGTGAGGCTTCAGGCGAAGGACCAATCACCCTTAGCTGGGAAAGACTGCGTCAGCCCATGCCCAGATCTGTGCAAACATCCGACGGACGCCTTCAGTTCAGAGGCATTGAGGTCACTGACGCTGGACGGTACATCTGCAGGGCGACCAACAGGGATGGATCTGCCGACGCCACAGCCGATGTCATTGTTGAAGGTACCTCAGATTATCATTTGTTATGATGATTTGGTTTATATAATTTTCATATTTTATTTCACAATTTTTCCTTTTTAATTTTGCGTCAGACTCGGCTCCACCTCCACTTGTCAAAGCCAGAACAAGGCAGGTTTCCACTCAGGTCGGCTCAAATATTATTTTGCGTTGCGAGTCATCAGACAGTGTCTTGTGGAGCAAGGATGGCCAATTTGGTCTCCCGCCCACGGCAAGCGCCCAAGGCAATGAAATCAGTTTCTTGAACACTCAGCTCGAGGACGCCGGACGCTATTTGTGCACTGTTAGGAATTCTTATGGCCAAAATCAGGACTACATTGACCTCATAGTGACGCGTGAGTATTGATTTGATAATATTTAAAATTTATTATTTTTTGCTAGAATTTTTTATTCCATTTTTAATCTACATGATTTTTTTTATTTTAACATTGATTTGGTGGATTTTTGTATTGCACTCTGAACAAAAGTTTATTTTTGATTGAGAGATTTTAACTCCTGCATGCTTTTTTAATATACCAGCGCATGGTCGTTGCAATATTAACCAGTACCAGTGCAAGAGCGGACAGTGCCTCAGCCTTAATAAAAGGTGTAACAACGTTTTTGACTGCGATGACAGAACGGACGAGATTTATTGCCGGTCGAGAAGGGGTTTGTTTTTTGCAAAACATTAATATCCGTGTTTTTCACTACCTTTTCTAAAAAAAAAACGCAATGTAGTCATCTTCTAGTAATTTATTTTTATCAAATGAGTGTTTTTCTTTTCTCACAGACTGAAATTCTTGATATTCAAACAAATTTTTCTATTTAAATAAATTTAAATTCTTATCGCTGTTGTTCTCTTAAAAAATAGTTTAGTTTAAACATTTCAAACCATAGAATTTAGTGCTGTGTGTTTGTTGAAATGCTTTTACGTGTGATGTGAATCTATCGCAGCAGAGTGGTGATGGGAAATTCAACTGCCTTGGGTGTGTGTAAGTTTATACATAAGATTTTGGTGATAGAAAAAAATAACAATAATTGCAAAATTCTTTGCTATCCTAAAAAATGTCCGCCTTAATAGTCCACAGTTTCCACACTCCTTTGAACATTTGTAAATTTGAAAAAAATTTCAGCTGCAAGACAGCGACCTCCGCTCCAGCCAAGACCGCGCGAGGAAACTATCAAAATTGAGGCCAGTCAGGACAGGATCAATCTGGGAGACACTGTTGACCTGCAGTGCAAGTCCACCGTGCCAGGCTCTGCCGTTTCGTGGTCCAAGGTGGGTGACGACCTGGCCAACAACATTCAGGTTCAGGGCGGCTTCCTGCGAATCAACAACGTGAGGAGCACCAACGGCGGGTTGTACCGGTGCAACGTCCGCACGCCTACGGGAGTGCAGTCGCGCGAATACTCGCTCGCCATTGTAGGTGCGTTGAAATAATTTCCAAATAATTGTTGCAAAACTTCTTAATTATTTCTTTTAAATTTTTATGCTGCTTTACTAACACTTTGGTGAGTATGAAATGGAAATAATTGATTAAATTTTGTTGTCTTTTTCATAAAAATATTGCCTATTTTAATGCAATTTGAATTTTACAGGATCAACGTCAATTGAACGCGTTCCATTCATTCCGAATCGGAACCGATTTGTGGACGCTGATGTCCCTGACTTGCCAACAATTGACCCTTCAAAACCATCAGTATTGACCAGATCTGCTGCATTCGGCAGCACAGTCGAGCTTGAGTGCCGAAGCAACTTGGAGAACGCCAAGTATACCTGGACCAGGCAAAACGCCATCCTGCCCGAAAAAGCCTACTCTCGAGATGTGAATCTTTCTTATAAAAATTCAAACCTATTTACTTATTTTTCATTAAAGGGCGTGCTCGTAATTCCTGAGCTGGACTCTACTGACGCAGGCACCTACCTGTGCACAGCCAGCAACTCGCAAGGACCCCAGGTGGTCCCAACAGTCCTGCTGGTCACAGGCTTAGTGCCCTATTTCGGCCAAAGCCCCAACTCATACATGGCCCTTCCGACCCTGAGCAACGCATACTCTAGTTTCAGCATTGAGATTTCGTTCAAACCTGAAAACCCTAATGGTAAATTATAAATTAAATTATCTAGAAAGTTTTGAAAACCAAGTTCCTCAGGCTCGATTCTGTACAACGGTCAGCAACTGGGTGGCTCAGGTGACTTCTTCTCCTTTGGTCTCAATAGTGGAATCCCTGAGTTCAGGTTCTCCACTGGTCTCTCACCGGTGATCATCAAGGGCAACGAGCAACTGAAGTTGGGCGAATGGCACACGGTTAAAATCAGCAAAATCAACAAAGAGGGCATGATGAAGGTGAATGGTGGCAGTCCATTTGTTGGCATCGAAACTGGCAGGTTCCTGGGTCTGGATCTGCAGGACTCGCTGTACATTGCAGGAGTGCCTGATTACTCCAACATCCACAGACTCAATGGATTCACTAAAGGATTCGTTGGTCAGAATCTTTATTGAAATTTTTTTGGGAAAATTACATATAATTGCTATGAATAGGTTGTGTTGGAAAACTGATCCTCGGATCCAAGCAAGTCGACCTGATGAAGGAGGCCTTGGTCAAGGAAGGTGTGACCCTGTGTGAAACTTGCGCCGAAAGCAAGTGCATCAATCAGGGCGTTTGTCAAGAAGCCTACGCTGAAATGGGATACAAGTGCATCTGCCCTTCAGGCTACTCAGGCATCAACTGCGAGTTCCAGGGTGAAGTCTGCTACCCTGGTAAATTTTTAATAATGTAACGCATCCCAGTAATTTTAAACGTTTGTTTCAAAACAGGAGCCTGTGGTGCAGGACGTTGCGAGGAAAAGGACAGAAGTATCGAGTGCTACTGCCCACTTGGCACTGAGGGTGCTAAATGTGACAAGCAGATCAAAATATCTGAGCCCCTGTTCAGCAAAAATGCTTGGATTTCTTACCCAAAACTCAGGACGTTTGGAAAGTAAGTTAAAAAAGCTATATTATGCAACCTGCGCGACATATTAGTAGGTAAAATTGCCTACTTTTTATTAAGTATGTTTGTTTAACCAACAAATTTAATTTTCTCTTCAATAAAAATAAATCCCTTGCATAATATTCTTTAATCTGCAGGTCAGACATCGGCTTTCGATTCAAGCCCAAGGATTTGGACGACAGCCTCCTCCTATACACCGCCCAAAATAATGACGGCACCGGAGATTTCCTCGCAGTCGTCATCAAGGACGAAAAGGCTGAGTTCCGGTTCAACATGGGCTCCGGCCTGGCCACCATCCGCAGCGAAAAGACCCTGAGCCCTGGCAAGTGGCACAGAGTGTCTGTCAGCCGGGGACCTCTGGCGGTCGGATCGATTTCGGTGGACGGCGAGGAACCGACGGTCGGAAAAGCGCCAGGATCCAAGAGAGGCTTGAATTTGGGCACGTTGCTCTATCTAGGCGGTTGGGACAAGTCAGAGGTCACCCTGAACTCGCAGGTTGGAGTCAAGAGGGGCTTTGAAGGATGCATCTCGCAGATCAACGTCACTGGTGTCAGCCTGGACATCATCAACTCGGCTGTTGGCGCGTCGAATGTGGCGCAGTGCCTGATCGAGTCACCATGCGACAGTTCACCATGCTTGCAAGGCGCGTCTTGTGAAAACTTTGAGAATGATTACACTTGCTACTGCCCTGAAGGATTCAGGTAAAATAATTTATTTTAATTTTTATTTGTAATAAAATGAAAAAAACTATTTAATATTTTTTTTTTAATTTTTTAAGTTCAAATCGCATCTGAAAACCTACTCACTTTTATATTTTGGTTTTTAATTTAATATAATTTTAGTGGTAATTCGGTCAATAATTCTTTTTATTCCAATTGTAAGCATAATTTTAAAATTTTTTAATATTATAACATTGGGAATTTTTCAAATCATGGTTACAGTAAATTTAATTTGTTGTTTCAATTTTTTTTGAAACAATGAATTAACATTAATTTTAATCTTGAATATATATTATATAATTCTTAAGCCTATATTTGTTTTACACTTTCTACGTTGACTAACAATTTATGTTATTTTCAGAGGCAAGAACTGCGAGAGTGAGGATAACATGTGCAGCACGCAGGCCTTCTGCCAGAACGATGGCGTGTGCGTTGGTACGTCCACTTCGTACAAGTGCAACTGTCCCAAAGGCTTTGCCGGACTTAACTGCGAGATCCGTAAGTTAATTTATTGATGAATACATCATGAAATATAACAAAAGAGCTCTTATTTCTCTATATTTTTAAATTTATTTTAGTACATTGCAAGTTTAAGAGCAACTGGTAGAAACAGGAATTTTTCAATTAATAAAATACTGTAAAAAATTTAACTGTTGGATAATAAGATTAATTGAATTATGTCTAAAAACAATTCTGATAATTATGTTCAATAATGTATTTTTTTTTTAAATTATCATTTTCCCAGGCGAGGAGTATGGTGAAGAGGTTGGTTTTGCTGGTGACGGGTACCTCGAGTTGAACAAGACCTTCCTGCCACACATCAACTCCAACCAACCTGAGGAGCTGCAGGTTGAGTTCACGGCGCGCAGTGCCCATGGTCTTCTGCTCTGGCACGGCCAATCGCCCAGCACGCCCGGCCTGAAGAACACTGGCCGCTCGGAGGATTACCTTTCCCTGGCCGTGGTTGACGGATACCTCGAGTTCGGCTGGGAGCTCGGCTCGGGTCCAGCCAAACTCGTGTCACGCAGACGGGTGGACGACAAACAGCGACACACTGTCCGCATCTGGCGCCACGCCAACAACGGCTCGATGACGCTTGACTCGGACGAACCAGTCATCGGGGTCAGCCTTGGCACCCTCAAGCTGCTTAACACAAATGGAAACATCTTCTTGGGTAAATTTAGATTCTTTAATTTGAAAAACAAAATGTTAATCTATCTTTAAATTAAAATTTTTTAGGTGGTTTACCCAAGCTCCAGTTTATGACTGGTGGGAAGCATGGCCAGGGCTTCACAGGGTGCATCCACTCGGTGCGCTTCAACAACTCGGCGCTTTTGAATCTCTTCGAAAAGGCGATCATTTCAGTCAATGCTCAGAAGTGTTCCAGGTAATTTTACTTTAGTTTCTCTGAATATGTTCTTTTTTTACTTTAAAAAATGATAAATTTTAGCATGGATTTTTGCTTTTTGATGAACAGAAAGGACTAACTTTTTGAGATCAAAGATTTTTGGTATTTTAAATTAAAAAATTAATTTCAGAATTAATTTTAAAATTTGGATTTTTATAATTTCCTTGAATTTCTTTCCTCTTGCGCATGATTTTACTAAGTGAATTTCTCTTGCAAATCGTGATAAGGGGTATTTGGGAGCCGTCGTCGTTGGTGCTGAGAGATGACGCGCCCCACAAAACAATCAGGCTCGGCGCTCTGCCAGGCTCTTCGTCGTCAGGGTCCGTGCGGCTGATCTTGTTGCCTCTGCTCGTCGTGTCTAACGCGGTCGTTCTCGCCGTTTTCAACTGCAATTTCTACCACATTATTTAGATTGGTAAAGAAAAAGGAATTATTTCCAAGGATAAATAAATGTTCCTTTTCTTGTGACTTGTCCGCGTTTTGCGCCGCACCTGTGGATGTTTTGTGTTGCAGAGTTGTAGCTTGCGTTTTGTGTTCTGTCTACCTTTTCTTAGGTCCTTAGTTTTTGTTTTATTTTAGGCCTTTGTGAATTTTTCTCTTTTTAGTTTCAAACTTTGAAAAATAACTCCTCGCAATTTTAGTGCACTCGGCTTGAGGACTCCTTTTTTTGTTGGAATTTTGCTTTATAATTATTATCTGTGACTTCCTTTGATTTTACCAAATTTGTTCTAATTGACTTTTCCGCCTTTCTAGCGGCTCATCTTTCGAGAACGACTACGAAAGTCCCGTAGAAGAACCTGAAGACACCGAAGATCTGTCGGTGCAGCTCAACCGAGCCTACTAGATCGAATTTTTTGATCGATCACACACAAACTTTGACAATTATGTGTTCATTTTAGAGAAAAGGCCCACGGCCCAATTTTTATTTTAGTTTCCAAAAGCGCCGCTCTGCTGATTGTGAGATGTGTTTTATATATTTGAATTCGGCAAAAAGTGGCTTTTTTAATTTTAATTTCCGCGCATTTCCTAAAAGGTATGAATATTGTTAACCTGACGAGAGCTTTTACTTATTTGCATAGTTCTTCTGGACCAAAATTGTTATTATTTTGTACTCTACCACCTCTTATTATTTTTGCTAGTCTTTCCGCTTCGAGACGAAAAAATAAGACTCCCTTTTGAATTTGGTCAAATATAAAAAATTGGGGTGCCTCACAATGTCCTAAAGACAATGTCCTAACAGAAAATGTCCTAACGGAAAATATCCTAAAGAAAATGTCCTACAGAAAATATCCTAAAGAAAATGCCCTAAAAGTGAGAATTGAAAATGTCCTAACAGAAAATATCCTAACGCCTGAAAGTTATGACAAGTCATGTGTCATGTGCAAAAAAAATTTAATTTATCCTTTCAAGTAATTTTGTGTTAAAATTTATCCTGATTCAAAATATTATTTTACGTTTCATATATAGTCTTTATCGGAAAATATACATAATTACATATATATTATAGACTTTTGAACTAATTTTAGTAATTTTAGGCTTTTGTAATGACTGTAATATTTTTTTTTAAATATTTTTTTTTAAATATTTTTTTCTTCGCTTTTTCTACGGGTAGTTGAGAAATTATAACTATTAATCTTTCTTCCATACAATAGTTTCAAAGAATTTCGTAAAAATCTTCAGGAAAATGTATTTTTGTTTCCTATGAAAAAGTTTACTTAGAAATATCATTCGAATTTTTTTTTCAAAACAAAAAATTTGAAAAATTCTAATTGAAAATATTCGTTAAATTTATTTTCAATATACGTTATAGTAATAATATTATTTTTTTAAATTATTTGTATTTGTGGAATATAATATGATTGTTTCAAACTTATATACACTTTAATATTTTGAATTATATGATCAACTTTCGTTAGAAATGTGACAGAGAAGCTCGACAATTAGCATCATATTCTTTCTGCATAAGTGAATTCATTTGATAAGGAATGAAGTTCATGTTAGTCCCTGTTGAAAAAACTAAACTTTTATAATATATCAACCAATTTTCCGAAATTTAGGACATTTTCTTTAAATTCAATTAGGACAAAATCTTTAGGACAATGTGCGATCATAGCTTTTAGGACATTATCTTTAGGATATTTTCTTTAGGACATTCTCTGTTAGGACATTGTCTTTAACCTCAATTTAGGACATTTTCTTTAGGACATTATGATGGTACCCAAAAAATTTATTTCACTTTTTGCTATTATATTATCAGTTAAATCAAAACTATTTAAAGAGGTAGTTTATTGGGGGAGTCTATATAAATGTATATCTGATAAAGAAAATTAATTATTGGTAACTGCAAATCATAATATTAGGATGATCCGGTGCCATAATTGCAAAAAGTAATGAAAATAATGGTGCCTATGCAGACAATAAAAGCACGATAGTAACTTTAAATTGGCAGTGATTCGTTCAAAGTGAATTAATATAATATCTCTCAGAAGTCTTGTTTGTTGTGTTCTTATACACCTATTTTAAGTATCATCAGCTCCGAGCCTTTTCTTTTTCCGAAATATGTAAAATATGACGTAATGCATTTGTACTCTTTGTGAACATTCTTTATAATTTATATATGAAAAATCAGCGCACTCCTCTACGCTGCAGATTAGGAAAGAAAAAAATTTTATTACTAATATATCCAAACGGATCACTAATGATAAATCTTTACGTTGGAAGAACTACACTAAAAATTGTAATAAGTGGTGCTAAAATAATGAATATATCAATGTAATGCGTGCCATAAATCAAGATTCTTTTCAAGAAAAAGGTGTGTTTAATTTGTAATTAAATTAATAAGATAAGATGTTTTGTGCTTGGAAATACTTGCGAATTTATTCCATTTTTACGAGGGGAAAAACAGATTGCTATGAAGTTTTCAAATCCCCACTCCCCACTCCCTTGTTATATTTTTTTTTTTGCCTCCACAATTATATAACTGCCAAATTCATAAATTATGGAGCTATAAACCATTAATTAGTGTCTTAGACCCATGGCCCTCTCCATTTTCAATTTCTTGCTGCCTGTCAAGTATAACAGACTTAAATAATCAACTTTGAAAATGGGAGAAAATATATTTCATTACCCTCCAACAAGCGAGAGTAAAAAGCAAATCCAGAAGTCTAGATTCAAAAATGATATGCTTATGATTGAAAAATTAAAAAAAAATTACCGTCATGATCAAAGAAAGAAAGACGAAGAAAATCAACGCCAAAGTAAAATTCCTCATTTTACTGCGACAGTTTTCAAATACGACCACGTATTGTTGCACTCTGAGGGAACTTGCAAACCTACAGATTTATGCAGCAATGGAAGCGGAGAGTTGTAGCAACACACTTCCTGTATAATCAGAGCTGCTGGAATTCCCAAACAGGAAACATAAATGTGCTTCTAGTTTTTCAGGGCTTGATATTTCACGACAAAGGTATACAAGTTTTTGTTTTATATATATATCAATTATAAAGTAATTGATTTATTGGCGTATGCTTTTTATAGTATATTAGCAAAACTACATATTAATTACACCAGAGTTCCAAAATTTCATAAATCTTTCTCTAAAAATATTTTAAAATGTTCTCGTCTACTGCAAAAAATAAAATATTTTCAAGGAAATAGTCAGATATTTAAGCAAGCTTCCCTGTCAGAAGGTCCTGTCGTACAATCCTGGTCCCAAGTAGTAGGAACCACGTCCTTGGTCACTTCTAGGAATGCTTCGAGTGTGCAGTCGAGGTCACAGCCAGGTATTTGAAGACGCTCAAAATTGGCATTTTCTTCGAATCCGTTATTGTACCATAACTGAATATTAAAAAAGAAAATATAATATAAAATTATTATATAATAAAAAATAATTACTTGAACTATGTAATTTTTCTCAATTCTGTGAAGTTCGACAAGGAGCGAAGCCGAAAAATTTGGTTTCCAAGGATCGTCCGTGAAACCCAGAGCTCGCAAAAGGTTTACAAGGGTGAGGTCATGGCCAGAAACCATGAAGAGTTTCAGTCGACCCTCACCAGATTTCTTTTTCTGCATTCTATCTTGGATTTCAGACAAAAGTGGGCCTAATATTTTTATCTATATTCACAATTTTTTAATTTGAAATGGTAATGCAAACCTCCTTTGATTTTCTGCATGAACTTGGTGTGCGTGAAAGCAGCGAGAGAATTGATGGCCAATTGCTTCATGCTCTGCAAAACTTGGTCCGAAGCCCACTCCGGCAACGGCAATCCCAGTTCCTTCTGGAGGATAAGAATGTTATAGAGAAATTCTGCTTGGGCGTAGTTCCTAATTGGTCCTCCACTTTTCTCGGTCAACATGGTCAAAAGTTGACTGTGGTTTGAATTGATATGGGTCGAGTACGAGCTGTTGTAAACGCAGGAGAGCGCTTCGGAATACTTTGGACACAGATTTTTAGCTATGACAACCTGCAAATTTGCAAAAATAAAAATTATGAAAGCCGGGAGTTTTCTTTTGGATTGTTTGATAGCATCAAATTGATTTAATTAAAAACATTATTTATTGTTATTTAATATTAAAATATTAAGAATAGCTTTGTTTGGTTTTAAGGTAATTAATACCTTGTCATGACGAAATGGGACCATGTGCACAGGTATGGGCTGCCAATCAAGGCCAGGGTGGATTTTCTGGAAGGGCAGTGGTGGGTGTAAAGCTGCTAGGAGGCACTCGACGCTCATTATGCTGCGGTCGGCTTCACTGCTCAGCACGTAAATATCCTCTGGCAGGTACAACGGTGGAATCAGGGAAGTGTACCTGTTTCGAATGTGCTTGCCCAAAAGGTACATGCGCCGCTTTCCCTTCTTTGAAAATAAAAATTAATAATGAAGAAAAGGATTAAATTTATTTTCATTGACCAAAGTAAGAGCTCCAATTCCTCCTATGTAATCAGATCCATCTGCGTAAGGGTCAGTGTTGTAAGAGTTGGTTGGATTTCTGTCGCCGTGGCGGAAAATCTATGAAAATTTATCAAGTGAATAAATAATTTGAGAAAATTCACGAATATTTTTCTTAACACTAACCAAAGATGCAAAAATCACAGTTGAATTTCCTGTCGTGCGATTTGCAGCATTGATCTGCTCCTGTACGTCTGCAGAATAATCGTCCAGCAGGATGAACCTGACCTGCTTCTCCAAGGTGGTCCAGTAGATGGTGAGCACCAAAATCACCACCAAAAGAATACCCACCGTAGCTAATTTGATCTTATTTCCACGCAGGAAATCGGCTGTGCTTGGCAAATTGGGGAACATTGTATTCTCTACTTGCACCTCCACCTCAGGCCGGGTTCTAGACTATCAGTTGCACAAAATAATAATATTATAATTCTTTGGATCAAATTCGAAATTCTTTGAGCCTGCGACGCAGAGATAAGGCAAAGACCAAAGAGGTGAATAAGTCTTGCTTAAATAATAAATGTAAAAGTGTATTTCAACAATTTGTCAAACTTTGGGATCTGCATATTAAAATTCAAATTCTGATACCTACTAAAAAAAGGAATAAAAACAATTTAATTAATTTCAGAGAAGAAAGAAAATATTTAAGTACCCTCCTAGCAATCTAAATGCGAAGCACAAAGACAGACAACTAATTCATTATACATAAAACTGATTAAATAATATAAATAAATAAATTGCCGCTTCGATAAGAGAAAGGAACACAGAATCAGCACATACAATTAGTTAAATCTCTTGTGTTTTCAAACAATAACATAATTATTGCTTCACAGGGAGAGTTCACCAACCTGCCAAACCTCAATATAGCAATGGAGGTATTTAGAGCACACATCTCCTGTATCATTGAAGCTGCCAGGGTTAACCAATAGGACCTTAACATTTGGCATGTTATACGACTTCAAATATTTTACATTAAATGAAAAAGTTTGGATTTCAATTAGTTAATGTATTTATTGTACAAATACTTTTCTTAGTAAATGCGAGGATCTAATAATCTATTGCACAAAAGTTACCAAAAATATCTCATGGTTTTTCTCAAGAAAAAATATCAAAATATGCTGTCTTTTAAGGCACTGCCAGAAATATTTGTCTAGGAACTTACGAATCACAAATGCAAGCAAGCCTCGTTATCAGAAGGTCCTGTTGTGCAATCCTGGTTCCAAGTAGTGGGAATCACGTCCCTGGTCACCTCAAGGAATGCTTCGAGTGTGCAGTCGAGGTCACAGCCAGGTATTTGAAGACGCTCAAAATTGGCATTTTCTTCAAATCCGTTATTGTACCATAACTGAAAATTACAAAAGAAATAGAATATAAAATTATAATAATAATAAATATTAATTACTTGAACTATGTCATTTTTCTCGATTCTGTGAAGTTCGACAAGGAGCGAAGCCGAGAAGTTTGGTTTCCAAAGATCATTCGTGAAACCCAGAGTTCGCAGGAGGTTTATCAGGGTGAGGTCGTGGCCAGAAACCATGAAGAGTTTCAGCCGACTGTCACCAGATTTCTTTTTCTGCATCCTATCTTGGATTTCAGACAAAAGTGGGCCTAATATTTTAATTTATAGTCAAAAGTTTCAAATTGAAATTCAGCAAAATGCAAACCTCCTTTGATTTTCTGCATGAACTTGGTGTGCGTGAAAGCAGCAAGAGAATCGATGGCCAATTGCTTCATACTCTGCAGAACTTGTTCCGAGGCCCAATGGGGCAATTGCAATCCCAGTTCTTTCTGAAGGGCCAAAGTGTTGTAGAGAGATTCAGCCTGGGCGTAGTTTTTAATTGGTTCTCCGCTTTTCTCGGTCAGCATGGTCAAAAGTTGACTGTGGTTCGAGTTGATTAGGGCCGAGTAAGAGCCGTTGTAAACGCAGTTGAGGGCCTCGGAATACTTTGGACACACACTTTTCGCGCTGACAACCTGCACAAGACAAAAAATTGCAATTAGATACAGAAAATAATTGCTTCAAGAGAGATAAAAATTGATATATACCTAAAATTATTATTGAATTCAAACATTAATTTAAATAAAACAGAATTTAATTTTATTTTTTTTTTTATACAAAGTTTTAAATTTACTTAAAAAACGGCAGATTTTGATCATAAAAGAATATCTAGGTAAATAATTACCCTGTCAAGATCTCTTGGAACTGTGTGGACCGGAATGGGCTGCCAATCGAGACCAGGGTGGATTTTCTGGAAGGGCAGTGGTGGGTATAAAGCTACTAGGAGGCACTCGACGCTCATTATGCAGCGGTCGGCATCACTGCTCAGCACATAAATATCCTCTGGCAGGTACAACGGTGGAATCAGGGCAGTGTACCTCTTCCGTATTTGCTTGCCCAAAAGGTACATGCGCCGCTTTCCCTTCTGAGGGTGGAAAAAATTATTAATTAAAAATAGAATAAAATTTAAAATTTCTAAGGTTGAAAAATATTGATTAACCAAAATGATTCAACATAGAGAAGGTTATGATGTATTATTTGAATTTTTACCGTAGTCAGGGCTCCCCATCCTCCTACATAATCAGATCCATCTGCGTAGGGGTCAGTCTTGTAAGGGTTGGTTGGATTTCTGTCACCGTGGCGAAAAATCTGATTTCAAAATAGTTAATTTGAGAGGAAACAAATTATTGTAAAATTTTTCTAACCACAGAGGCGAATATCAGAGTCGAATTTCCCGACGTGCGATTCGCGGCCTTGATTTGCTCTTGCACGTCTGCAGGATCAATGTCCTCCTGCAGGATGACCCTGACCAGTTCCTCATCGCTGCCACCTGCCGAGGTGGTCGAGTAGAGGGTGAGCGCCAAAATCACCACCAACAGACCACCCACCGTAGCCAATTTGATCTTGTTTCGGCGCAGAAAATCGGACGTGCCTGGCATATTGACGACCTTTCACTCAAATTTTCGACTTTCAGCAGTTCCAGCCTCTCCTCAGGCCGTGCTCGCTCCCATCAGTCGCACAAAAATAACATAAACACCACGAATTGCTGCATTATTTGCGAGCCTGTGACGACAGGAAAACAAATTATTAACCTACTGAAGGGGGCGTGTCACTGGCGGGGTGTAAAGAGAGGAGCATTTTTCGTTTAAATTTATTTGGTTAAAAAATAACAATTAAGAACTTTACAAAATTTCATTGACATCGACATGAGATACATCAGAGATAATAATTATCTCTCGATCTGAAATATATTAATGGAAAAGTCGAATCAAAATCAAATTCAAGTCTAATAAAAAATTCTACTTTTTTTTTATTTACAGTGCATTTTTTTATCTTTAGTTTTGTGACAATAAAAAGAAAAATCAACTAAAATTGTTACTACGAATAAAAATTTTGTAAATAAATGTTTAAAATATTCAAATATACTTTTTACTTCAATTGAAATATGTATTTTAAATAGGAATATTTGTTATAATTCTTGTAGTCTGTGCCAAATAAATAGCGAACTGGCGCAGAATTTTTAGTTTTTTTCCTTCAATTTTTCGTACGTTTCCATTTTTGAGCAAAGTAATTATTTTTAAAAGGCAGAACTTTTTAACCAACCCGCTTACTTTGGTGTAGGTGTGTGCTTAACTTATCATCCATAAGTTTTTATCGCTACTACATGCGCGCTCCGACTGCCAAACAAAAAAGGTGCGCGCGTTTCGCCGAGCGCATCTCTTTCGCTCTGGCCATGGGCGCAGGTAAAAAGCGACCGTAAAACGAAAAAACTCTCCAACCAAACATTCACACTGGCTGATAAAAATTTTTGCCCCGATGGCTAAAACAAACACGCAGTATATTATGTAGCTCTGCTTGGAGGAAAAGCAGCTTCGGACGGCAAAAAGCAGGTTTTGAATGATTTTTTTTTTATCATTTATATTTCTCGTGATAAAACATCCCGCATTAAGTGAAAAAAGTGGCAGTGGAACTATAAAAACGTCTAGAGATTGTGTAACCGACCTCGCTTTGGTCATATAATAGTGTCCCTTTAACCTTAGCATCGAGAGCCGACCTGGCGCCCATTGGCTCGTCCGGAGACACACACTCTCTTCTTGCTTGCGTCGTAAAATTAAATATTCTCACTGCCAAGGTCGGTTTGTTGTTTTCCATCGTTCTTGGCGCGGTCTCCAGTTGCCAAGCATCTCTTGAAAGAATACGAAGCCTCAGTTTCCGAAGCAGCAGAAATGCAGAAAATTGTCGAGTGCGTCCCGAACTTCAGCGAGGGCCGGGACAAGAAGGTGCGTTGTCGTGAAAGAATGAGGGAAATTATTTTTCCCTTTCCCAGAAAATATTCGGAAATGTAAAAAAGCGGCTTAAAATCATTCATAAAAAATGGTCGTTCTGGGAACTGCCTTTGTTTGTGATTTAAATGGCAGAGAGACTTTCCAAAAGCCGAGGGAGCACTTAATGATCATTTTTGTTTCTTCTGTGCGCAAAAATAATGTTCATTTTCATTCAGCATTCGTGTAAGATTAACTTTAGAATATTTGGATATTTTTGAAATGATGCAATGTCTTTTGAAGAAAAAATTTTAAGTCAAAAAGAAAATTTTATAATGCGCCAATAAATGAATAAAAATTTTGTTCTGATTTCTAATTTGCAAAGTAAAAATCCGATTTTTTTTACTCAAATTGTTCTAATTAAAAAACATCAATAAAAATTTCTTAAAAGTAGTAGAAATTTATGGAAAATATTAAATTCTTAAATTATTTCAAATACTTATAAATTCAATGAATCAATTGCTTTAGATAATCGATGCGATTGCAGAAGCAATCAGGTCGACCCAGGGTGTTACCCTGTTGGATGTGGATCCTGGTCCATCGACAAACAGGACTGTTTACACCTTCGTTGGAGACCCTGACGCCGTCATCGAGGGAGCCCTGAACGCGGCTCGCGTCGCTTACAAGCTCATCGACATGGCCAAGCACACAGGTGTTTGAAAAAAATCTTAAAGAAGTTATTTTTATTCTAATTATAAAACCCAAAAGTTAATCATATTATTTTAAAAAATTTGAAAATGCGCCTTACCTTTTGTTGAAAAAAGAATAATGACAAAATTTTAATTTGTTTTTAATATATACAAAAATTGCAGAAATTATTTTAGAAAATGAGCCAGTGGAGATTCGCTTTCAATTTATAAATAAAAATTGTAATTTTTTTGATAGGTGAACATCCACGGTTGGGAGCGATGGACGTGTGTCCCTTTGTGCCGGTGCGGGGCGTGGAGCCCGAGGAGTGCGTCTTCTGCGCCACTCGCCTTGCTGAAAAACTGTCGTCCGAGTTGCAGGTGCCCGTCTTCCTGTACGGGACGGCCGCTAGACAGGGCAAGCACCGCGTCACTGTGCCGCAGATCAGAGGCGGGGAGTATGAGGGGCTGCAAGAAAAGGTAAAAAAATGAGAACAAATAAAAATTTACAAAGATTCTAGGTGATTTTTAGATATGATAAAATAAAAAATAAAGGTCATTCAAGGCGACCTACGGGCTGCTGATAATTTATAGACTGAAGATTTCTTGTTTTACATAATATTTTTTCTAAAAATAAATTAAAGATGGGAGTAAAAAAGTAGCCAAAATTCAAGTCATTTACTTGGAAATTCCAAGTTTAATATAAAACTAAATCATTTTTTATTGCTTTTTTTTATTTTACCAAGGATTGTTCCAAATATAACTTAAATGATGTTAACATTCATTTTAAAAAGATTTACATTATAAAATATCTGTGAGTTTAGTTGCTCCAAGATGAATGGAAGCCCGACTATGGACCTAAAAGTTTTGTCAGCAACTGGGGCGCCAGCATGGTCGGGGTTCGTCCGTTCCTGCTGGCGTACAACATCAATATTCTTGGCACCAAGGAGCAGGCACATAGGTGAGATTGACTAGAGATTAAGATCTGGCCCAACTCTATTTTTTATCATTTGCTATCAATTGCATTACCCAAGGTTTATTCGTCTTTATATTTGTTATATGAAAATTAAACGCATGAGGAATTTTCAGTTGCAAAGTGAAGTGCAAAAGCACGAATTAATTTATGTAAAAATGGGATTTTTTTAGATTCTGTTCTTAGATTTAATAGATGAAAATTGAAAGAAAATATGGGTAGTATTAATTCAATTCAATTCAGTAAGGTCTGTTTGAGCATTGAATTTTTGTTACCATTAATAAAAAATTGTTCAGAACAACATTATGTAAAATTCAAGTTTTTTTTTTATAAAACTCTTAAAGTCGTATTAATAATTATTTATTTACATTTACCTACTATCAATTATTTTAAAGTTTAAAAATAAATACAAAAATAATCTTTGACTATGAATAATTTTTACCCGGAATTTTGTTATTGCAATTGTTAGAAAAATTTGGATAAAATATTTGCTTCCAAGTAACATTTTAACAATTTAATTTTAGACCAAAACAAGTGTATTAAGAAATTCAGTTCCAGTTTTTCTATTTACAAGATTTTTTTTGTAGATCTGCGATAGTTTTGTATTATAGCAAAAAACATAATATATCTTCCCTGCTTGAAACTCGCGCATTGAGTACAAAGCCCTTTCCATTTAACACCATTTTCCCTCAATATCCTCATTAGCAATTCCTCCAATGATTCGCACCTCGAGCACACTTTTGAAGATGCGCATTATTTATATAATTCAGCTTATTTGCATATATATTCAAGTTTATTACTCCGATGGGGGCAATTCATTCACGTTAGTGCGTTTGAACTCTCCGTTAATATGTAAGCCTTTTGGAAAATGAATTTTAATTAAAACGCCCAACCAGCACCGTCGGGAATTTTGCATTATTCCAGTCACAGCACCACATCAAAACAACGTGGTTTAATTAAGCAGCGATTCCGTTAATTATTGATTGCGTTATTAGTCCTATTAAGGCGAATCTAATGTTGCTCCACTGATCACCAACCAGGATCCAAAGCACATAAATAATGTCACTGCACGCGGCAAGTCACATGGCGCCGTCACTCCATGTGTCAAAGTGAAGCGTGAAACCCTCTTTTCCACTTGAATGCGTGCTCGCCGAATTTTCCGCCGGCGCGAAAACATCCGTCAAGGATGCACACGTTGGGTGTCAAAATATCACACGTTACCGCAGTTCGGGTCGGCGGCTGCCCTCCATCCATCACGATATTGATACCGAGAAGGTCATGTGTGCGATTTGGACACACGGATTTTCCTGCCAAATTTGCTTTCCACTTGCCATTTTTAATTTCTTTTGTACATGGTTTAGTAGGTTTTTAGGCAGAAAAAAAATTAGAAAAATCATAATTATATTTTAAGGAGATAATTCTGCTAATCGCGGTTAAAATTACATTTTTTTTCTCAGGTGATTATTATATTAATTTTAGGCGCCAAATTTTAATATATCTTTTGTTTTGCAGAAATTGTAGTAAAAATAATGCTAGAATGGGAAAAAAATTTACACATATCTTAATCTTCAGGTTTGAAATTTACTTTTTAAGTTGTCTGTTTTTAAAAAAAAAAAAAAAAAATAAAAAATAGCCTGGTTTGGTTGATTGGGATTTTTTTAGTTGAATTAAACATTAATTAAATTTTGCATTTTTGCGCATCTAATAATAGAACAGCAAGTGTAGAAATGAGCATCCTTAAAAAAGCTGAAAATACCGTGTATTTAATAATAATTCTTTTATTAAGCGCGTTTGAGAAAATCTGTTAAAACTTCGCGCCATGAATCCATATATGTCTTTCAAGCAAATTTAGACGAAAATTTATAGAGCTTCCCAATATTTCTATTTCAATACCTTTTTTTTAAACTCCACAAGTTTTCGCTTCTGTAAAAGTGAATTGAATTGAATTTTGATTTATTCCAATATTGAAAATTCTACCCCCTCTACCAATCAGTTGTTCCACCAAATTCTATTTTGGCTTCCGTCGATTAGCTTATTAATTTGATAATGCAGAGGATTAGGATGTGAAAAGCACAGCTTTTGGATAATATATTGTGCACATTATAAACAGGTTCAAAGCTTTGACGGGTTTTGCCAGAAGTATGCGAACAACACGCACTCTCTGTGAATTGAGCTTTTTGCGTAATGGCTCGTCGGGTGAATGGCAAAGAGGGGGAGATGTAATATTAATACAAGAGGAATGATGTGAAAGGAGTTCTCTCTCAACACATTCACAATAGATGAAAGTGAGCCTGGCAGGAAAATTAGGGCTAGCTTCAAAATATAGCTCAGAATGTGGACAGTACACTGAAATAAAAGGGGAAATGTGGTAAAAATAAAAAAGTCATACATAGGCAAAACTATACCCATGTTTTCCAAATAATGATTTCAACACCAATTTTATCAAAAGAGCAGACATAATTGATTTATTCACCCATATAATTGCTTGTAATTATTTGGATACGCAGAGAGAAATTGGAAAAAACTAAATTGAATGACTGAAAGCAAAGATGAAGAGGAGTTATAATAATTTAAATTTATATCCAAGGCAAATTTCCCTAAAAATTGCAAAAATCATTAATGAAAATATATCTTCCAAGCGTCTATCTGACACAAAATGCTAAACTTAATTATGTCAATTGTGGCTTGCGAATGCGTTCAAAGACCATAAATTATGCTCTAAATATCACGGTTTTGGTTAATATTTGCTAAGGGACGCCAAGACACTTCAATTATTCTGATAGTATTATTTTAACGGACAAACTTTGGCGCAATAATTAATTTATTTGTGTGCCCATATTTCCTCGTCATACTGCCAGCATTACAATTTACAATAAGCGCAAAATTAATTAATTAGTTTTGAACACAAAACGCACATTCAACACGAGTTGTCCATTGTAATTAGGCTGCAAAAGAGAAACCCTTTCGACGCCACCGCGAGAGCAAACAATGGCGGCGAGGCGCATTAAAATTATTATTTGTTGGTATTCGTGTGAGGTGTTGTTTGCGAATGTGCCGCACTTCTGACTCTCTTGTGACAGCGAGTGGTATTATTTGAATTTGCAAGAGAGAGAGGGAGGAATAATTACGAAAGCGTGCTCAAAGTTTCGGGTTTATTTTGTGCAGTTCTGATACCCTCCGCCTGCACATAATATAATTCAACGCTTTTAACACGGACACGTGTTTCTACTTGAATTAAAAGGACTTTGCCGAAAGTACACAGACCTGCTGTGTCGTTTGATCTACGCGAAAAGAAACTTTTGCCACCTTAAAAGTTTGTGACCTTCGTGCGAAGGATTCAAACTAGCTGCCAACAATTTCCCTTAGTTGGTTCAATTCTACACCGGCAGCAACTTTGCCAAGATTTCATTAATGTAAATCCAGTCAACTCCTGAAAGTTTCGGTATACAAATCCTGAAGTCCCATTGGGGGATGCGTTATTTGGAGGTTTCTACATTGGCCTCGTGCGAAGTTGACTGCTAATGAGCATAAAAAAAATTGGGCGGGGGGGATTTTGAATCAGACGATTAGAGTGTTTAAAATTTTGATTATTTTTCCAGCAAAATTATAGACATTGTTTTTATAGCAATTTAAGTGGAATTTAAAAATAAAAATTATTTTTAAGTGGCGAAATAAATTCCGTCTTAAAAATTCAATCTAATAATTGGCAGTAAAAGTTTTGACGGCACAATTTAATTTTTTAAAAATTTTATTTGGTTAAAGGTTTTTCCGAAACTTATTTTAAGCCATTATTTGGCCAAGGATTTATTGATTCTTTGGCTTTAAATTGGATGATTCATGCTTATTAGTTTTGCAAGCAGCTAAACAAAATGTCAACCGACTCCAATTTACAAGACTACTTTTAAATTTTGATTTCCAGAAAGATGACGAGAAAAACGTGCGCAAATTTTTATTTTTTTAGGAGAATAAAAAAGAACAATTTATATAATTTTGCTAATTTATTTTATTTCTGCTATTATATTTTATATTTAACTAACTATGAAAAACCACCAGCTGCCGACAAGAAGTAAAAAATTAATTATTTTTAATTGTTTGTTTAAAAAAATTGATTTTAATTTTCTTACCAAATGTTAATTGTACTTATTTATTTTTTGCAGAATTGCTTTGAATATTCGTGAACAAGGTCGTGGTTCTGGACAGGTCGGACGTCTGAAAGCTGTCCAGGGCATGGGCTGGTGGTTGGAAGAGGCGAATCTGGCCCAGGTTTCGCTAAACATCACCAATCACAAAGTCACCCCTCTGCACGTGGCCTTCAATGAGGTATGCTTCTTTTGATCTAAAATTTAAATCAAACTTCTTCACCCACTGAGCCTGGTATTTTAATTAAATTTTTCTTGACATGAAAGGCGCTTCCCTTTTTACCCTCACTCAAACGGCATTAATTTTCTGATTGCATCTCTTTCCCTCGATTTGTTTGCTTTTTTAGGTTGTGAAAGACGCTGGAGAGTTGCAAGTGGGGGTCGCCGGCTCCGAGCTGGTCGGGCTGGTTCCTTTGGAGGCACTCTTGGAGGCAGCAAAGTTCTTTATGGAGAAAGAGGGACTGATGATATTGGAAGAAGACCAGAAAGTGCGACTTGCCATTTCTAGACTAGGACTCAGTTCAATAAACCCATTCGACCCAAAGTAAGAACATTTATATTTAAATATCCTTATTCCTTTTGACGAAAACAGAATGAACCAAAATGCTTTCTTCTCGAAACAAAATATTTTGTATAAATCAACCAAACTCGGCTAACGTGGGAGGTAAATTTGCCAAACAATATAAAAAGAGGCACCGTGAAAGAAAATTGGATATACGAGCAATCGCCGCAAGCTACAGACAAGAAACGTTTCGCAGCGGCTGGAACGAAAAGGCAACCCGCTGCGCTTTCTCGCCCGCCCGGTTGCATACCTTCCCAAACTAGCAAATCTCGGGATCAAAGGCGGGTGCGTTTGTTAAAAGTTTTGAGCTGATTGATTTACTAGATCAGACTGCTGGAAGCAATTTGTTTGTAGCTGCCTTTGAGGGTTAATGCCAAGCGACGAGCCTAAATAATTTGTTACGGCTTGAGGGAGGTGTGGTAACTGTTAACGAGAGACAAAAAAGTTTTCAAACAAGCTGGTACGCTGGCGGACACGGTTTGTTGAGAACTTTTCTTGCGCTGGAAGATCGTAAAGATTAAGAAACTATGTCTTGTAAAAAAAGGGTATCAAAGTTAAAGGAACAGAAGAAAAGAAGTCTACAAATAATAATAAAAAAATCTATACAAGTTACTTATCAATTAATTGAAAGTTTATAAATCTTGAAAAGTATTTAATGAAATTATGTTACGTTAAGAAACGTAATTAAGTCGGCTTAATTTATTATTTATTTATTTTTTTTTTGCTCTAAAATTTACATTTGAACAGCATCACTGAATTTTGTGCGTAGCTCTTTTTAGAGAACAAGTTAAATTATTTCTAAACTATATTTTTCAATAGTTCTAACAAATTTAGTATAAGAAACTTTAAAACGTTTAAAATCATACTTATTTTTCACTTATATTAGTCTCATGTTCTCTATAAAAAAAATGATTGATTTTTAATCAAAAATTTAATTATTTTAAATGCTTTGACTTAATTTATTTTTATATTTATTCCGTTAGAAAAACTTGAGTAAAATGTAAGATTTCCATCAGGTTCTGTTAAATGTTGGGCTTTATCCAGGAGTTCTTAGACATAAGCCATAATAACAAAAGTTGAGCTCTTCTGCAACAATGCATCAATCTTGAGTGTATCTCTTGTAACTCGTAAGTTCACTATACTTTTACTATATTACCATTGCGGAGTTTAAGCTTGGCTGACGTGGTTAGAATAAAACGTCAAACTTGAAAATGAATGGCTGGCCAACTAGATTAAGCTCTTGAAACGTACGACTAATCAGCCAGCGTGGAGCGCGTGCTTATCGCCCAAATCCAGCTGCCGCGTTGTAAAATATTAATATATATCCTCGCTTCCGAACTGCTCTCTCGCTGAAGGAAAGACCGTGACTGCTGGTGCTAATAATGAATATGCGTACATACTTTGCCTCTCCCGTTTTGAGAGAGCAAAAAGCGGCCACCAGTCGCACCAGTGCGTCAGTTTGAAGCCGCTTTGATTTTTTATTTTATAATTGCACGGTCTTTTTTCTCGCATACTCTTTTTGGTGATTGATAAAGACGCGGCTTAATGAGAAAGTGAAAGAGTGAATAATTTTTTTCATTACTCGATTGGATTGAGAAAAAATACATAAGACGTAATTGGGATTTTCTTCATTTAGAAGGCAAGGAGAAAATTCAATTATTAGCTTTTTAAAAATATTTCAAGATCAAGAGTTGCTAATTGTTATTTTAGTTTTTCCTGTGTATTGAGCCGTTTGTTGTTATAAAAAAGAAAAATCCCACAGGAAAATCAGAATACAAAATCTTTTCAGTGAAGTTAAAAATGTGTCAAAACAGCGCGTGCCATTTTCGGGAACGCGTGTGCGCTCCACTTTAAGTTGTTCAAAATTGCCTGCGCCTGTGAAAGAGACTTCTGCTTTTTGTCCGCAGGGAGAGGGTGATTGAGTACCGGCTGCCCGCACAAGCCGCCCCCCTCACTACCCTCTCGCTCAGGGGCTTCGTGGAGGCGGTCGCCGCACGCACCCCTGCCCCCGGAGGCGGCTCCGTCGCAGCTCTTCTCGGCTCTCTTGTAAGTACTAATTTACGCAAATTGAATCAAGAATTTCATTCCCATTGTGTCATCAAATACATATATTAATTAATTAGAATTGATTTCTCTCCGTTAGCAAATATTTACTTTGGATCTCGCATTTTGGGAAAGGAAATGTGAAAGGGAAAGCTTTCTCACAAATTAAATTTGACTTCATGCAACGAAAATGAATTCATTTTAAAATTTGGACATTAAAAGATATTTTGTTCAAGAAATTGTTACTTTCAGGGATGCGGCTTGGTGACGATGTGTGGCCTAATGACCTACGGCAAGAAACAATGGGATCATTTAGACCAAACAATGAGGACTCATCTGCCAATCACTCACCTCTCGATGAAAAATCTAATCCCAATGATCGACTCGGACTCCGATGCATTCAATCAGTACATGGTATTCACACATTTGAGATAAAAACTCATCTCTTCAAGTTTTCAATCGCATTTTTTTTACTGCTCGTTGAAAAGATTAATGCGCATGAATGGGAGAGCCAAGTGGATTACTTTATGACTCCCTGGCAAATCTCTTTCCACCGGAACCAACAAAGTATGATTTTGGCTCTTTTCATGCGCTCAGAGCAAAAAAGCAGAAGCGCAAACAATCCGCCCACCTTGCCCGCGTTTTCATTCATTTTCCAGCGGGAACTTCAGAACCGGGCCGGAAATGTCATGTGTTTTATGCTCTCTCTTTCTCATTCAACTTCCAGACCGCCAGCAAAATGCCAAAATGCACCGCCGAGGAAGTGGCCGCCAGAGAAAGGGCTTTGTCGGCTGCTTTGGACAGGGCAATTCAAGTTCCGCTGCAGGTAGCCACCCTCGCCAACGAAACATGGCCCGTCCTCACTGAAATCGCAAAGGTTTGCAACATTCAAACCGCGTCAGACATGCAGGTAAGTCATTGCGATTTTGGAAAAATAAAAAATAAATTTGTGAAAAAATTAATTGATCGAAGTAATGCATTTTATAATGTTTGTAATGAAACATGTTTTTTTCTGTAACTTTTTCTATAACATTTTTAGCTTTTCCAAGATATTTCTGTTACCTGGAAAAGTTTTATCAGTCATTGCCAAATTAAAAATAATGGTAACAGCAGCCGGTAATATTAAAAATATTTCAGATATAAAATTAAAAAAAAACTTACATGTAAAAATGGCGATGGGGGGGGGGGAGGGGGAATGTATTAATACATATTACGTTTCAATGGGATTGAAGGCATAATTATCGAATTTTTAAGGTTCAAAAGGAAGAGATTTTTTTTTTAATTTTGAACAGAATGCTCTGAATAGAAATCTAGTAAATAATATAAATATTGGAAAAAAAAATTCACGCTAGGATATACTACTGGATTCGCGGTGAATTTTCTTGAGTGCCTTTCATTGACAAGAAACAAAAGCGACGTTCAGACTCGTTCCTCCACAAATAATTTAATTTCCTTGACGTCGCCTTTATTCTGCTCCCTCTTCAAAATGCTCATTTCGGCTGCAAACAGACTAAATTAACCACTCTTATTTCGCGCATTTGTCAAAATGGGCTCACTGGAGCAGACTAGGCCATTGTCGAAAATTGAGCTCTGTGTTCTGCTCATGGGGGAATACGGAGCGAAGAAAGACAGTAAATCGAGCGAGCGTCGGCGTTCCGTACAATTTTGCCATTGAAAACGACCGGCACGCCGCTCTGCACCCCTAATCCCTCCTGTCCGTGTGCTAACGGATACCAAATATTTGCTCTTTGCAGCAGTTAGACGCTTTATTTGCTAAAGACTGGCTTCAATTAGCGGCGTATTTGCATTATTCTTAAAAAATGCAAAAGCGCGCCCACTAGCCGATTTTGTGTTTCCTCCTTTCACCCATGTATTTGCGTGTATGTACATAAAATTCAATTCCAAAAGCGCTTGTCTCACATTCAAATATTTCAGTCTCAAAAAATTGAATATTTAAATTTAATTATGAAAATCGAGGAACACCGAAGGGCTTTTATTTAAATAAAATGTTCATTAATTATCAATTATTTATTAGCCCTTTTTCAATTGAATTTGGACTCTTAATAAAATAAATTATATATTTTTTTAAATCTTAATTCAATTTAATCTATTTATTTTAATCCTAGGTCGGAGCTCGCTGTTTGGAGGCGTGTGTTGCGGGTGCCTGGTCGAATGTGATAGTCAACCTTGCGTCATTACCCACGACCAACCCTCGTAAATCATCTCTCAAAACCCAGGCTTCGGAGGAAATGAAAAAAGCTTCTTTTCATCTTGGTCAGGTCCTGGCCATAATTCAAGAAAGGATGGAATCTAGCTGATCAATTTCAATTTGTATACAAAATGAAATTCACGCAATTATCGTTTAAACTAACAAAACATACAATATTATGCTCACCCAAAATCTGTTTGTTTTTCACAGATTTGAGCATTATTTTACTAACATGGCTTGTAAATTATGAATTTTTTGGTGATTTGAAATAAAAATAATTATGTTATTACATTTCTAAGCAATTTTGTTGTTGTACACATATCGCTATGCATGTATCCTATTTCCTTGTTGCTGAAAGTGAAAGCGTTTTGACATAGAACATACTTGAACAAGAGGACGGCCAAACATTTCAGTAATCCGAACGAAATTCCACTCAAAAGTGATACGGAGCTCATTTTGAATACAAATTCCGCTATAGTGAAAGGAAAGTTTCCCAATTCGGATAAAAGATACATAGTCCGTTTGGTGGAAAAAATTTGGCCAGCGTATATATTATACGTCCTGAATAGCAGCGGGCGCAGATCAAAGAGAGCCGTGAGTTCCGGCACAGGCGGGCTTTTTGCTTATTTAGCAGCACGGTTTGCTCTGGAAATCCAGCATCCTTGCGAATTTCGTGCCAAAGTCGCATTAAAATATATATCACGGGTGAAACCACTGGGCAAAGCTCCCCAGACGAAAGTGTGAGGTTTTAAATTCGACCCTTTTAATATTAAAAAACCGTCTCGGGACATGCATATATAGTTGGCCGAAAATACGCATCATCGGATTTGGACGTGTGCGAGCGCGAGATAGGCTTTTGGCCGACAGAGAGAGACGGGATGTCGGGCGAAACATGCAAAACGCCGGCGCCCTCGCTTCTCTTTTCCTCTCCCTCTCAATTTTTCTCGTAATCCGGCGCTCTTTTGAAATCGTCTTCATTGTTCTTTTGAAAGAGATGAGAAAGCACAAGAAAAGAGTCATTTTTTATTTTTGTTCTTGACTCGTTGCGCTGCCTTGTGTTTTGTGAATGTAAGAACGTGGAGCCTACACATCTATAGCGCCTTCACGGTCTTTTTTTAACGCACAACTAATTGCGCCAGTTTTCTTCTTCTCTGTCAGTCAGACAAAAAAAGGTGGTTAGCTCTCGCTGAATCATTTATTATTGATTCGGTGAACCTTAAATACTAATTTTATGTTTAATGTTTAAATGACCCTGGTGAATAATTGTGATAATTTTTAAAAAATTAAAATTAAGTAAAATTTGAGAGTTCCACTGCTGAAATTTCCAATTACACACAAAAATGATATCTTGGAATGTTTTATTCCTTTCTAATCAAATGTATTTGAGGTATATGATTAATTTTACTTTTGTTGAGTTGTCGACTCTGCTATTATTCCTTGATGAGTTTTGTAAATGACATTTGATTGTTTCTCATGGTGATGTTTAATTGAAATGGAAAAGCAATATCCTGCCTTGCTCAAACAAATTTAAAGTCAGCAGGTAAACACAATAGTCTTTTATTTAACTCACCAAAGCATAGTTGAGTTTAGATTCAGCAAACATGAACTTTTTGTTAGCAAAACTATATAAGATACCATTAGTCAATTAACTACTTAAATTTAATTGAAAATTCTAAGTAAAATCTAACCCAATAAAACCATTTTTTATTTTATAAAGGCAAAATAAATCTTATTTAAAGCTTTTTGCAGTCTATAAAAATGAATTTTTATTTTGCTACTCGGAAGAAGGAAATTCATACATACACTTATTTAAAATTAAGAAAAGAATTTAATTATACATTATTTTTTTAATTTTCAACAAATTTGAAAAGAAGCAGTAGAAAAAAGTTGTTGCCAATATTGGTGAGCATTAAAACTTTCAAAATTACTAAATAATATTATTATAAAGTTTAAAAACTTATTTAAAAAAAAATTAATAAAAAGGCAGTTTTAAGCACATAAGGACAAGCAAACAAATTAAGTTGACCAAGTCTCTATGTGTGGTAAAGATATTTCTAACTCTATCATGAAAATTATTGCACTAATTATGTCCCCCCCCCCCTCAAAAAATTATTTATTTATGTTCAAACTAGCTAAAAATAATCAGAAATATTTACTAAAGATGACAATTTAACGTGTGGATGTTCAAATGAAGGTGTAATTGGCAGCTGCTATTAAAATGATCCTCTTAATTCATTCAAATTTTCAGCTGAAGAAAGAGTAAAAATAGTAAAAGGAAGTGCGGTCCTCAAAATTGGCATCTTTTTCGCTGACTGACAGGTTTAAAGAGCTCTCAACCCAAAATAAGGCCTCTAGACAATCGATTACGGTCTTACGAAAGGGGGTGCGTGCCGACTGACCTTATACTTTTATTGCGAAACTGGCAAACTTTGTTATAGACCCCATTGAAATAAAACAAATCTTGCCTGCAGATTGGAATCAATCAATACCCGAGGGGTAACTGCCCGGATTAGCGACGTGTATGAATTGGTGTGGGAGTCTATTACTGAGAATTGCGTCGGATGAAGCGGGGGAGCGCGAGGGAGAAAGGAAATGTGATCGCGGCTCACGTGTACTCGATTGCTGCGGGCTGTGATCAATCAAGGTAAACACGTGCTTTTCTCAATAAAACTTCTTGTTTGAGCGTTCAATAGAAAACGTGTTGGCAAAATGCGGAAATGATTCCGAAGAACACCATTGCCAATTTCAGGTGACGAGTTTTTGTTGTTGTAATTTTTTGTTTTTCATTCAACCTTGTCAACGAAAATCCCATGCGGATTTATTGGAACCTTGGTTGTAGCTCAATTCCACGAGAGCGAATATAAATAATAAAGCCTGTGTGAAAATCAAGCGGGTGTGTACACACGCCAAAGTTCGTAAAATAGGCTGCTCTCAACAGCAGCAGCTCTCCGTCAAGTTGCGAGGCCCAACTTTTTCGTTTTCTCATAAGCAATTCAGCGTCGGCAGCTTTAAACTCGTTAACTTGTTTGCGCACTGCACTCGTTTGTTTCGTATTTTGGCGCAAAAGTTGCCAACTGCGAATAGGCAGAGGAACGAACCGCGCCTTGTTCTCCGATGCCGAGGCCAAACTCAAAGCAAAACGGTTTTATGAAGTATCTCTCTTTTAAGCTTTTAAAAGTGAGCTACTTATTCAATAATTTTTCATTCTGTGTTTATATAAGGAGGAAATTCACATTTTCAGTTTTCTCTGCGATGGTCTCAAATTGAAAATATTTTTGCATAAAGGTCAAAGGAAAATTTTATAGAATGAGATTATTTCCAAAGCGATTTGAACGTTTTTTTTCAGGAAATAATTTTTCTAGACAAAAATTGAAGGCCTGGTTAACTTGCAAAATTTCCCCAGGGGAGCCATATATTATTTGCATTGGCCTTTTTATGGGTTAGTGAAATAGTTTCCGCCCGGCAAAGTCAATATTTGTCCAAACATAACTTTGAAATGAAAAACTCGTTGTGCAAATAACTATTTTTACTGTACTCAAATAATACAATATGTAAATTTCATTTTCAATCTTTAAGGGTCATTTTGTAAAATAACATCATAAAAAGAAGTTTGGGCGCTCTGGTAACAGTTAACAGTTGATCTAGTCAAAGGATTCGCCTTTCTGCTCCTATAAACACATCGCACAAAAAAATTGGGATAGAATGTTTTATCCAGCCTCTGTATGTTTAAAATTAGTCTTGACTTTTTTTCAAGAAGCTTTTTAAATTTTCAACTACCTTAGGTCAAATCAATAAAATTTTATTTGACGTGATTCAATATAAATATAAATAAAAATAAAAAGTATTGACCAATTAAGTAATTAAGTTTGACATTTAAAAACGCAAAATTAATTATGTTAATGAGAGAAATGGTTTTCCTTCTTGAGTTTCCTGTTTGATTCCACTCAAATTTCATCACCGGTACAAACTTTTCACAGCAGTTTCCTCCCCATTTTGCTGAAAATAATTTTTCCAGTGATGAGGTCCTTAACTGTTTGCACAGGTTTTCTCAAACTACCGCGTGGTGTGTTGAACTACTGCAATGCAGAGGGTGCCGTCTTTGAAATTCGGCCTTCATTTATAATCTTGTATTATTAAAAAAAGATGAAAGCTAGTCCATCGCGAAGAAAAGACAAAGTTCTGCGAATTTAGTTGGCCGATGCGTCTTCTGCTGGATTAATGCAGACTCGCTCGGAAGGGCCGTGCTGCGGAGATAAAAGTGAAGAGCCGGCCGGGCATAGGGTGGGTCCCTCTCGTTTCATTTTAATATGCGCGGCCGTGCTCTCGACAGACCCTAGAAACGCTGCTAAGTGTCTCAAATAAGTGTCCCCCGCGAAGAAGTCGCAAACAACTCTCTCGACGTCATTTTTGCTCCCTCGGAAAAGACGAATGGGTGGGTCGGAATCTGATTCATTTTTTTCTCCTTTTTATTCTGCCTTTATTTGCTGCAAAGCTGTGACGAGAAAAACGAAATAGAGTAAAAAAATATGGGGCTAAACATTCGGCGGTGGCAATAAAAAGGGGGAAATGAGTTGGAGCGGCTTTTGTGGAGCGATCGGCCGGAAAATTGCGAGAGCTATTTGCTCCATTTGTCCTGGGCTGATACACCACTACTTCTGGAAATTATTGTGTATAATTTCATCGGTAGGACGGGCAAGTGTGCCGCCCAGGATGAGCTCACGTCAAAAGACTCACATGAGTGGAAAAATCACTTCGTTGGAGGGGCGGGATTATTTGCCCGTTTTTCCAATTTATTTTTTCTAATTTTCAAGTCGCTGATTTTTTTATTGCCCTCTGATAAGGTTTGGAAAGAAAGAGAGAGGAAAACGATTTCGTTGTCATCGAATAAAAGGCGATGAAAAAACAAGATTACGTCTGTAGTGTGCTCGCGAAAAAATATGCCATAGGTTGAGGAAACGCTGTGCCGTCGCGCGTTCCGACGAAGGGGTTGCGGAGATTGCAAAACTCTTTTAATCACATATTTTTCCTCGTGTATTTTAGGAATGGGATATAAGTTTTCGGAAACTCAAGTTTATAATTTATTACGGTGAGTGAGAAGATTGTAATATATGCGGGGAAACTTCTTTGCAGGAAGATATCAAAGATGTATATAAATAGGAAACGTTTTGAAACTTTTGGCAGGACGTAAAGTATACGTTAATTAATTCGAGCGGATAATTAAATTAATTAATGATGAAAATAAAGTGGAACCCAAGTGGCCGTAAATAACTTGGGAGTTAAATATTATGAAAGGAGG